CTAGAGGAAAGTATATAGCAATAAGTGCCCGTATGAGGAGAATGGAGAGATCCAAAATTGACACCCTATCGTCAAAATTGAAAGAGCTAGAGGAGCAAGATCAAAAAAACTCAAAACCCAGCAGAAGACAAGAAATAACTACGATCAGAGCTGAACTGAAGGAGATTGAGACACGAAAAACCCTTCAAAAAATCAATAAATACAAGAGCTGGTTTTTTTAAAAGATCAACAAAACAGACAGACCACTAGCCAGATTGATTAAAAATAAAAGAGAGAACAACCAAATAGATGCAATAAAAAATGATAAAGGGGAAATCACCACAGACTCCACAGAAATTCAAACCATCATCAGAGAATATTACAAACAACTCTATGCACATAAACTAGTAAACCTGGAAGAAATGGATAAATTCCTGGACTCCTGTGTCCTCCCAAGCCTAAACCAGGAGGAAGCTGAAACTATGAATAGACCAATAACAAGGTCAGAAGTCGAGGCAGCAATTAAGAGCCTACCACTCAAAAAAAGCCCAGGTCCAGACGGATTCACAGCCAAATTCTACCAGACACACAAAGAGGAGCTGGTACCATTCCTTCTAAAACCATTTCAAACAATCCATAAAGAGGGAATCCTTCCCAAATCATATTATAAGACCAACATCATCCTGACACCAAAACCCGGCAGAGACCCAACAAGAAAAGAAAACTTCAGGCCAATATCCATGATGAACATAGATGCAAAAATCTTCAATAAAATATTGGCAAGCCGATTGCAACAGCAAATCAAAAAACTTATCCATCATGATCAAGTAGGATTCATCCCGGGGATGCAAGGCTGGTTCAACACATAAACAGAACCAAAAACAAAAACCACATGATTATCTCAATTGATGCAAAGAAGGCATTTGACAAAATTCAACAGCCCTTTATGCTAAAAACCCTCAATAAACTCGGTATCGATGGAATGTATCTCAAAGTAATAAAAGCTATTTATGACAAACCAACAGCCAATATCATACTGAATGGGCAAAAACTGGAAGCATTCCCTTTGAAATCTGGCACTAGACAAGGATGCCCTCTTTCACCACTCCTATTCAATATAGTACTGGAAGTTCTAGCCAGAGCAATCAGACAAGAAAAAGAAATAAAGGGTATTCAAATAGGAAAGGTGGAAGCCAAATTGTCTCTATTTGCAGACGACATGATAATATACCTAGAAGACCCCATCGCCTCAGCCCAAAAACTCCTGAAACTGATAAGCAGCTTCAGCAAAGTCTCAGGATATAAAATCAATGCGCAAAAATCACAAGCATTCCTCTACACCAATAACAGACTTAAAGAGAGCCAAATCAAGAACGAACTGCCATTCACAATTGCTACAAAAAGAATAAAATACCTTGGAATACAACTCACAAGGAACGTAAGGGACCTCTTCAAGGAGAACTACAAACCACTGCTCAACGAAATCAGAGAGGACACAAACAGATGGAGAAACATTCCATGTTCATGGTTAGGAAGAATTAATATCGTAAAAATGGCTATACTGCCCAAAGTAATTTACAGAATCAACGCTATCCCCATCAAGCTACCATTGACTTTCTTCACAGAACTGGAAAAAACCACCATGAACTTCATATGGAACCAAAAGAGAGCCCGCATAGCCAAGTCAATTCTAAGCAAAAAGAACACAGCGGGGGGCATCACACTACCGGATTTCAAACTATACTACAAGGCTACAGTAATCAAAACAGCATGGTACTGGTACCAAAACAGAGATATAGACCAATGGAATAAAACAGAGACACCGGAGGCAACACAACATATCTACAACTATACAATCTTTGATAAACCTGACAAAAACAAGTAATGGGGAAAGGATTCCCTGTTTAACAAATGGTGTTGGGAAAACTGGCTAGCCATGTGCAGAAAGCAGAAACTGGACCCCTTCCTGACACCTTACACTAAAATTAACTCCAGATGGATTAAAGACTTAAACATAAGACCCGGCACCATAAAAACCCTAGAAGGAAATCTAGGCAAAACTATCCAGGACATAGGAGTAGGCAAGGACTTCATGAACAAAACACCAAAAGCATAGGCCACAAAAACCAAAATAGACAAATGGGACCTAACGAAACTCCACAGCTTCTGCACAGCAAAAGAAACAGTCACTAGAGTGAATCTGCAACCAACAGAATGGGAAAAAATTTTTGCAGTTTACCCATCTGACAAAGGGCTGATATCCAGAATTTACAAAGAACTCAAACAGATTTACAGGAAAAAAACAAACAAGCCCATTCAAAAGTGGGCAAAGGATATGAACAGACACTTTACGAAAGAAGACATATATGAGGCCAACAATCATATGAAAAAATGCTCATCGTCACTGGTCATCAGAGAGATGCAAATCAAAACCACATTGAGATACCATCTCACTCCAGTTAGAATGGCGATCATTAAAAAATCTGGAGACAACAGATGCTGGAGAGGATGTGGAGAAAAAGGAACACTTTTACACTGTTGGTGGGAGTGTAAATTAGTTCAACCATTGTGGAAGACAGTGTGGCGATTCCTCAAGGCCTTAGAAATAGAAATTCCATTTGACCCAGCAATCCCATTACTGGGTATATATCCAAAAGACTATAAATCGTTCTACTATAAGGACACATGTACACGAATGTTCATTGCAGCACTGTTTACAATAGCAAAGACCTGGAATCAACCCAAATGCCCATTGATAATAGACTGGATTGGAAAAATGTGGCACATATACACCATGGAATATTATGCAGCAATCAGAAATGATGAGTTCGTGTCGTTTGTAGGGACATGGATGAATCTGGAGAACATCATCCTCAGCAAACTGACACAAGAACAGAAAATGAAACACCGCATATTCTCACTCATAGGCAGGTGATGAAAAATGAGAACACATGGACACAGAAAGGGGAGTACTAAACACTGGGGTCTATTGGGAGGAAAAGGGGAGGGCCAGTGGGAGGGGGAGGTAGGGAGGGATAGCCTGGGGAGAAATGCCAAATGTGGGTGAAGGGGAGAAGCAAAGCAAAGCACACTGCCATGTGCATACCTACGCAACGGTCTTGCACGCTCTGCTCATCTACCCCAAAACCTAAAATCCAATAAAAAATTAAAAAAAAAAAAAAAAAAAAAAGAAAGTGGTGGTGGTGGTGGTGGTGGCTTTTAACTTGAACAGTGGCAGGCTGAGGAAGAGGCAGCAGGAAGGGAGGAGCCAGCAACAGACCCGGAAAAGAGAAAGGCTCAGAGGGCGTAGAAGGTACAAGTCGTGCTGATAAACCTCAGGCTGAGGAAAACAAGGCAGCAGCCCTGAGGGCCCTGAAAGAGACCCTAGACCCCTAGTGGGGTCCTCTGGGAAGAGCCTGGACCAGGGTTCTGAGGGAAAAGAAGGAAAAAGAGAGGAGGCTCAGACTGGGTGGTGGAGCCTACTATGGAGGAAAGTGGGAAGTCCGGAGCCCTGAGCCTCCAAGTGGCCTTCCAGCCCTGCCACAGCCTTTCTCTGGACTGAGCTGTCACTTAGCTCCCTCTTGGTGACTCAGAATCTGACTTTCTCATATTGCCATTTTAATTTTAGTAACGATGTGAGTTAGTAATGATGTGAGTCACTTCCACTCACAAACAGTAAAAACAGAGGGTCAACCACAAAGAAAAAAGATTCTCATTTCATCTGTAGTTTCTTATCAGAGATTGTGCTGGAATTTGTCTCCATACTAAACCGCTGTTCAAGGGTCACCAGCTCAAATGGTTATGGGGTGAAGCTAGTGTCTCAAAGGCATGGGCCTGTTCATTGGGACCTGTGGCAAACCAAAGCCACGACTTGCCCTATCCAGAGGGGACAACAGCTGTCAGCCCCAGCAGCTGCCACTAAAGGGTGCAAGCTCTGTATTGCCCAGCTTGACTTTTCAGAGGTAAGTTGTAAGTCCAGTTGTTTGGTGAGACCTCCAGATTTCTAAATAATGAGAATGAATTCCATTAAAAAGATCACAACGAACACCCACCATACAGTCCTGGCAAAACACCCTGAGGCCAACCTTCATAAGGAGTGCAAAGTCACAGTGTCAATTTCACTTCCTCTAAAGAGATTTCAAAGTGTTCTGTTCCTTAAGTGATGCTGTTTACATTTTAAAATACAACTGTGCCAGGCATGGTAGCTCAAACCTGTAATCCCAGCACTTTGGGAGGCCAAGGCGGGTGGATCGCGAGGTCAAGAGATCGATCCAGATCATCCTGGTCAACATGGTGAAACCCCATCTCTACTAAAAGTACAAAAAATTAGCTGGGCATAGTGGCGCGTGCCTCTAATCCCAGCTACTCAGGAGGCTGAGGCAGGAGAATGGCCTGAATCCAGGAGGCGGAGGTTGCGGTGAGCCGAGATCGTGCCATTGCACTCTAGCCTGGGTAACAAGAGCGAAACTCCGTCTCAAAAATATAATATAATATAAAATACACCTGTATCTCCTAGAAGGAAAACAAGAATTTGCTTTAAGAGCTCACTGCCTCCTCAGCCCCTGTGTGAGTACACACTTTATGCTTCCCCAGAGGTGACTTAACTCTGATCATTGTCAATGGGCAGGCACTCCCAATCTTTTTCTTTTATTTTCCTTTTTTTTTTTTTTTTTTTTTTTTTTTTTTGTTTTGAGACAGAATCTCACTCTGTCACTCAGGCTGGAGTGCAGTGGTGTGATCTTGGCTCATGTGACCTATGCCTCCTGGGTTCAAGCAATTCTCCTGTTTCAGCCTCCCGAGTAGCTGGGATCACAGGCTTGTGCCGCCATGACCGGCTAATTTTTTTGTATATTTAGTAGAGACGGGGTTTCACCATATTGGCCAGGCTGGTCTCGAACTTCTGACCTTGTGATCCGCCCACCTCGGCCTCCCAAAGTGTTGGGATTACAGGCGTGAGCCACCGCCTCCAGCCTCCAGAGTGTCTTTCATAGCTACCAATGATTAAATAGCAAGTACTGCATTCCTAGGCATCGCTAACTAGTGAAGTATACCAGACGGAAATGTCTTTGAAGCTGTCCCTTTAAAACTCGAGCAAGCTATCAGGCAAACTCCGCCTCCAGGGAGGTTCCTTATTTAACAGGAGCCAGCTGGCTGGGTCAGAGCTCAAAACCCCAAGCAATACCTGCTACTGAGTATTTTTCTCCGGACTGCAGCCGGTCGGCATGGCTCAAGAGTTTGTCAACTGCAAAATTCAGCCTGGGAAGGTGGTTGTGTTCATCAAGCCCACCTGCCCATACTGCAGGACGGCCCAAGAGATCCTCAGTCAATTGCCCATCAAACAAGGGCTTCTGGAATTTGTCGATATCACAGCCACCAACCACACTAACGAGATTCAGGATTATCTGCTACAGCTCACCGGAGCAAGAACGGTGAGTTTCATTTTAAATGGCTAGGGAAAGGCTCCCGGATTGCCTTGTCAGAGCGGTACCTTTCTTTAGGAAAAGGCTGGGGCTCCGTCCTTCAAGGCATCCGGAGGGCTATACGGGAGCTGGAGGAGAGAGGGGGAGGGCGCCTTAGAGAGGATCTCAGTCACTTGAATGAGCTCGGCACTGCGGCCAAAGGTCCTTTCAGAACAGAAGAGGGAGTACAGCTGATGTCTGCTGTGCGGCGGGGGTAAGTGGGCCCAGCAGCTTGCTGGGAAGTCCCTGGGGAATTACTTAGCGTCTTTGTTTTAAGCACTGCTAGGAAATGACAGTTTTCAGCGGACAGGGCTGTAAGTGGAAGCTGGGGTGATGTTTGTTAATTTAACAAGAGAATCATGTTCTTGTTAAATTAACACATCACACCTGGGGAGGGCCGAGTGTGACGTTTGTTAATTTAACAAGAGAATCTTGTTCTTCATTCTTTTCTCTAGGCTTTCTTTTTCTAATTTGCTAATTCTTCCTTATCTAATTCCTCCCACGGGAAAAATCTAATACACCATTATCTGCCCCTTATTCTAAATTATTTAGGGATGTGTTCAGGCCCCACCTTGGCTGGAGTTCTGGCCTGGCTCTTATAATGGCTGGCTGTGTGACCCTGGGCAAGTCAGCAGCACCCGGTAGTCCTCAAAGATCCCAGCTGCAAGACCATGTTAGGTGACCTCAAAGTCCCATTTGCTACGAATAGACTATGGGACTCTCTCAAAATTGTTCTCCTCCATCTGAAAATACTGCCCTGTCCTCAGCATCATTGGCTTCGAGTCCTGGGCTTCAGGAGGGATGCCTACCACATCACCTGTATCAGTTCTGCTGCGAGGTGGGTGAGAAGTGTCCCACCAACTCAGCTAAGTTCCCTTTTAGGATACATATTCTACAGCATAGTGTTGGCCCAAGCACACATCCGATTTCAGTTTTAGTTTGACTTACAAGCTTGTCTCTGGGTTCTGAGTATAAAGCATGGGAGGTTGTTTCTCCCCTTCTCTCTAATAAGAAGTCAGCATTTTGGTGCAGAGTAGGGCTTTGTGTTCCTCTATTGCTGTGTGCTGAGGTCCTAGAGCAGACACAACGAAGAGAGGCTCTTGCTGCCTAGTGGGACCACTAGCTGCATAGGATGCTGAGGCCCTGAGAGATGTAAAGGGCAGTGCAAACACTACTATGGGCCCTACTGTGGTTGCCACCCTGAGGACATTTTAGCCAAACTTTGCTGCACATTAGGATCACCCAGAGTGCTTTTAAAACAACCGTTATGCACAAGTTATGCCCCTCAATAACTAAATCACAACATCACAGGTGGAAGCCAAGCATTTATTTTTATTTATTTATTTATTTATTTATTTATTTATTTTTGAGACAGAGTTTCACTCTTGTCGCCCAGACTGGAGGGTAATGGCGGCGCAATCCTGGCTCACTGCAATCTCTGCTTCCTAGGTTCAAATGATTCTCCTGCCTCAGCTTCCCGAGTAGCTGGGATTACAGGCACATGCCACCACGCCCAGCTAATTTTTAGTAGACATGGGGTTTCACCATGATGGCCAGGCTTGGCTAGAACTCCTGGCCTCAAGTGATCCACCCATTTCAGCTTCAGAAAGTGCTGGGATTACAGGCATATGAGCCACCACACCTGGCTAGCATTACTATTTGGAAAGATCCCTAGGGGATTCCAATATGTAACAAAATTTGGGATTATTGTTCTCAGCCCAACAGCATCTATTCTCCAGCAGGTAAAGCAAACCTCTTCATGCGTTCATTTAATTTTTTTTTTTTGAGATGGAGTTTCGCTCTGTCTTCCAGGCTGGAGTGCAGTGGTGTGATCTCTGCTCACTGCAGCCTCCACCTCCCAGGTTCAAGGGATCAAGTAGTAGTTGGGATTACAGGCCCCCCGCCACCCCGCCCAGCTAATTTTTGTATTTTTATTAGAGATGGAGTTTCACTATGTTGGCCAAGCTGGTCTCAAACTCCTGACTTCGGGTGATCCACCCACCTCCCATCATGGCCTCCCAAAGTGCAGGCGTGAGCCACCATGCTTGACCAACAATTGCTTTTTCATTTCTTTATGAAGCAATAATATTTCTTCTAGTGATATTTTAAATTTATATTTTTAAGAGACAGAGTCTTGCTCTGCCACCCAGGCTGGAGTGCAGTGTAACAGTAGCTGACTGCAGCCTCAAACTCCTGGGCTCAGGTGACCCTCAGCCTCCCATGGCTGGGACTACAGGCATGAGCCATCATACCCGGCAAATTTTTGAAGATTTTGTACAGATGGGGGTCCTTATTATGTTCCCCAGGCTGATCTTGAACTCCTGGCCTCAAGCTATCCTCCCACCTCAGCCTTCCAAACTGCTGGGATTACATATGTGATCCACCTCAACAAGCCTATTTTTAATTTTTTAAAAAATATTTTTCACAGATTCTTGAATCCTGAATGCATTCCTCCTAGGGGAAGAATAAATCTTTTAAGTTGTATGTTTGATCCCCAACAGTGAAGGGTTTGTATTGAAAGCATCTGAAAGCTGCTGCGATATTAATTATTCCATAAAGTAGCTGTATCTAGTAGGTAATCAGCAGGAGATGGTTATGGAAAGTTAATGCCTTCAAGCCATGAACTTGGTGAAGCCTGTTTTGTTTTGCTATAGTCACAGCACCTACATTAGTGCCTTCATTTCCTTCTCCTCTATGCACTTGTCTTTACATAGATCTGAGTTTCTGACCTCTATCATTTCCCTTCTCTCTGAAGAACTTCTTTTTGCATTTCTTGCAAGGTGATTCCACCTCCCAACTTACTGTATTACTATTATTATTCAGCTGAGCAAATAATTTGTACTATCTTAGAAATACTTTCTAAGTATACGCCTGCACTTTGGGAGGCCGCGATGGGAGGTGGGTGGATCACCCAAAGTCAGGAGTTCGAGACCAGCTTGGCCAACATAGTGAAACTCCATCTCTAATAAAAATACAAAAATTAGCTGGGCATGGTGGCAGGGGGCCTGTAATCACAACTACTACTTCATCGTTTGAACCTGGGAGGTGGAGGCTGCGGTGAGCAGAGATCACACCACTGCACTCCAGCCTGGAAGACAAGAGCGAAACTCCATCTCAAAAAAAAAAAAAAAAATTGTTATCTTAGAAATACTTTCTAAGATAAGCAAAATTTGAGGATCTTAGAAAGTATTTTTCCTTCACATTTGAATGATGATTTTGCTGGATGCAGCAAATATTTTTAAGCATCTACTATGTACCAGGCAGTTTTCTGGACAGTGGGGAAAAAAAAGTCTACCTTTTCTCCCATGAAAAGAAACCTTCTGCTTTGTTGAACCTATATTCTATTGGGGGAGAGAAATACAATAATAATACAGATTATTTGCACAGCTGAATAGTAATAATACAGTATGTTGGGAGGTGGGAATGGCATGTGCTATGAGGAAAAGTAGGAAAATAGGGAGGAGGCAGCAGGACCCAGTTTTAGATGGAGCCTTTGGGTCTGACTGAGAAGGGAAGATTCAAGCAAATATCTACAGGAGCTGAGGGAGATGGGCATATACAATTTACTAATAGAGTGAATGCAAAGGTCTTTTTGGAATAGTAAGGAGGTCGGTATGCATCGGAATGGCAGAGGCACTGTGAGCCAGTAGGAGAGTTAGTAGAGGTGAGATCTGAGCACTAACAGGAGCTTGGAAGAACTGTGACTGGTACTCGGTGTGAGATGAGATGCCCCTGGTGGATGCTCAGCAGAGGAGTCACTTGATCTGACTCTGCTTTGAAAGGGTCACTTGGCAGCTGTGGGGAGAAGAGACAGTAGGGCAAGGGTAAAGGTTGAAGCTAGGAGACATTGGGAGGCTATAGCAGCTGTTCAGGTGACAAATGAAGGTGGCTTGTGATAGAGAGTGTTGAGAAATCACTTTGAATAGTTGCATTTGAGTAACTCTGATGTGCAGGAGATGCCACCTGGCTGAGGCTGGGGAAACCTACTCCAGGAAAGTAAGAGCCACAGGATTACCAAACTCGTTTTGGGGGTGGCAGTTCTTTCCTCTCTTTGCTATTAGTGGACTCTCGAGTTCCCCTAAGCAGGCTGGGATGGGAAGGAACAGGAGGAGAGGCAGCACAGGGTATTTCCTCTTCTTTGCTCAGCTGAATCAACAGTGCCTCTTATATGCTTCTGTTTCACTGCCACAGCCTCCCACACCGTCCTGTACAGCCTGCAATTCAGCTCCCTTTAGGGGTGCCATTCACTGATACAATTTAAGGCAGTTTTCTGGTTGTCCACAAAACTGGGTGTGAGGATGGGTGTGAGGGTAAAGGAGCCTTTCGCTTCTTTGCCAGACACTGAGCACAAAACTCCATTCTGGGGGCAGCCTGGTCACATTTCAGGGCCGTCTCAGGAGGCTGGGGGGCAGGCAGCTCCAGGGCTGTGGGTTTTCAAAGCCTTGGTTATCCTGTTAGAGCACAGGAAATAGCCACGGAAATGTGCAAGATTTATTTTTAATTTTTAGACTTTACTTTTAAAGCCTACCTCCGCCCAGACCCCCTTTGTAATAAAAGTACTGTAAGAACTCATCCGCAGTAATTAAGTTCCATTTCTCATCTGTCTCACTCTTTACGACAATTTGCTCAAATTATTATGCTCTCTGAGAAGAGCCCAGAGCTTTAAAAAATAGTCTCTCTGATTTCTGCCTCCACCTCTCCCTTCCCTTCAGTGTGTTCCTGGCACTCAGTGGGAGGCCCACTGGCTCTGATGACGTGGTGACCTCCATGGTGCTTGTCTCTTCACTGCCAAGCAGCCTTGGTGGAACACCCTTGGCCTGGAAATTCAGCCATGTTGAGGGGATTTCCTCCTCCCTCAAGAGTCTAAAAGCCCTCTGAAATTCTGGAATGTGTCTGCTCCTAGCTGCAGGGAGGAAGCTTGTACTAGAGAGGAGCCTATTCAAGTGTCATGACTATGGCTTGGTGTGGGTGACTCACCCACATCCAGGGTGACTTAACCATCTTATCATGAACCAGTGATAAAAGGAGACTCAAATACCACTACATCCACCTGGTTGAGGACAGGGTTCACCTGTGTTTTGTTTGTTTTGCTCTGTCAAGCAGGTGTGAGTACAATGGCACCATCACAGCTTACTGCAGCCTCGACCTTTGAAGGAATCAAAGCAATCCTTCCACTTCAGCTTTCTGAGTAGCTGAGACTACAGGCATGCACCACTGTGCCTGGCTAATTTTTGTATTTTTTTGTAGAGACAGGGTCTCACTATGTTGCCTAGGCTGGTCTTAAAGTCCTGGGCTCAAGTGACCCTCTCAACCTCAGCCTCCCAAAGTGTTAGGATTACAGTTGTGAGCCACGGTGCCTGGCCCTCACCTGTGTTTTAACAACACAGAGAGATAATTGTATTTAATAAACCATGGACCTGAAAAATCAGAGACCTAATGCTATTACTTTTCCAGCTGTATTTAGAAATGAACTCACTCCTTCCTGATTGCTGTGGCCCAGTTTATAATCTTAGGTGTGGTCTCTGATGCAGAGAAAGCAGAGGTCAATCTGGGTGGTCTGATTCCAGCCAATCAAAATTCTCCCTCTGGAACATGTTTCTGTAGAGTGAAATTTGTAGATCCCTTTGACAAGTTGGACAAGCTCATGCATAGCATACTCAACTTGAAAACTCTTCTGTCTTAAAAGCATTCTTGAGTTAATAACGTTACCTCTTATAACAGTAAGGAAGTCCTGCCCTGTAAGCATATACATGAACAGGTTGTAAAGTGATTTGAAAAGTTTGGAATCACAGGAAACATTTAGTGAAGGATAGAAATGTTCTTTCTAATCTTCTAATTATGTCCTGGGTCATGTGCTTTTTTAGGTGCCTCGAGTCTTTATCGGTAAGGATTGCATAGGCGGATGCAGTGATCTAGTCAGTATGCAACAGAGTGGGGAGCTGCAGACGCGGCTGAAGCAGATTGGAGCTCTGCAGTAACCACAGGTGAATGGCAGGTGAGCTGCTGGGCTGGGAACATGCGAGACCGTGGATTCTTCTGCCATGGTTTGTTATACTGCAGGACAGCATTCTAGCTAGGGAAAGAATGATTTGGGGTGGGTTGAGGAACCGCGATGTCAATTGCTTATGAATATCACACTTTACAAAGAGATTGTGTCAATGGGAGAAATCCTTTCACTCAACCTTCATATAGCAAATATTTATTAAGCATGTGCCAGACGCATGGGAATATAACGATGCATAAAATGGTAACCTGGAACTTAAATTCTAGAGAGGTAGACAGATCAAAAACAAGTAAATCCTGAAATAGAATAGAATAGAAGATGTCAGGGGGTGGGGAGAAAATTGAGCTAACGTGGTAAGGAAGGGCATCTCTCAGGAAGGGTTGAGCTGAGACCTAGTTGACAAGGAGACCACTATGTAGAGATGAAGCAGAAGAGCTTTTCAGGTGGAGGAAACGGCAAGTGCAAAGGCTCCAAGGTGGCAACAGATAAGGGATGTTTGTGGAACAGAAAGAAAGCAGGAATAGAGTGAGTGAAGTGCAGTAAGAAGGAAGAATAGTGGGAAATGTGGGCAGGGGACAGAGCACCCAGGCCGTGGTAAGCAATTTGGATTTATTCTAAATGCAATGTGAAACTGATGTCATTTTGGCTTTACCTGTGTTCACTTGACAAATCAACTGTTTAATTGGCTTCCCAAAAGCCAAAACAAAAGTTTTCTAAAATCCGTAACCTAAAGATCTTTGGCTCAGTAGAAAACCACAGGATAATGAACATTTTAGAACGGAATCATGATGGTTTTGGAATCTGAGCTCCTCCTTCCCCCAGATCCCCAGCATAGCTAGTGCTAGCTAGCCCCCAAGCAGGCTGATTCAGAGACCTGTATACAGAGAGATCCAAGCACTCCTGCTTTAGTTGAGGGAGAAATGAATGAATCTTTAACCAAAATGTTCTTGGAGTGATATCTAGTGCCTGCTAATCGATAACTCGTCCCTTGGTTAATGAGTATACGTAATATGTAATGGTTTCTCTGCATAGCAACAGAATGAGGAAAAAGGTCTGAAAAAATACAACTGAGTTCCCTGAAATGAAATAGTCAATGCTATAAATCTTCTCATAATTCTACAACATCCTCACAGCAGGTGAACCCTATGTCTGTCTGAATGAACCCTATGTCACTTCCTGGCCTTACCACCAATACTAAAAGCCCTCAAAACCAATTAATGGTGTTACCAAAGGTTTCCTATTCTGGGACATGTTTAGCAATTTAGGGTTAGATTAAGAATGGAAGAAGACGGGAAATGTCATTTCTCCAACTGCTTCTCTTTTGGTGTGGGCATTATTAGAGTTCCCCATATTCAGAAAGTCTCCTTACTTGCATTTGGCCTTTTCCTTCAGCATTCTATGCTGTCAGTAAAATACTGACAGCTGCATCTCAAGGCCATCTGCAACAGTGTGGTTTAAATGGCAGGAGTAAGTATTCTGGTAATGAGAGAAAGGAAGGATTTTGCCTTACAAGGAGATATCCCATTCTTTCTTTCCAGGCAGAGCAGGTCCCACGCTGACGTCCCTCCTCAAGAGCTGGATGGCATTGCAAATGATGACAGTGTTTCCTGGTGGATGCATTTGGGAGCACAAACAGCTTTTTTCTTTTGGCTCTATTTAAAAGTGGATCAACTTGCTCTTAACCACAGTGCCAAGAAGATTGACAGGCCATCGTTTTCTTCTAGATGCGCTCTTTGGTTTTCAGAAGACTATGACAAGTTCTCGGCTAGGATTCGTTCACTGACCCTCAATTGTTCTTTCTCTTGGGCACGAATTTCTTTCTTTCTTTGCTTTCCTTTCCTTTTTCCTTTCCTTTCCTTTCCTTTCCTTTCCTTTCCTTTCCTTTCCTTTCCTTTCCTTTCCTTTCCTTTCCTTTCCTTTCCTTTCCTTTCTTTCCTTCTTTCTTTCCTTCCTTCTTTCTTTCTTTCCTTCTTTCTTTCTTTCTTACTGTCCATTAGCTGAAATCTTTCTTTCAGATGGAGTCTTGCTCTGTCACCCAGGCTGTAGTGCAGTGGCACAATCTCTGCTCACGGCATCCTCCGCCGCCTGGGTTTAAGCAATTCCCCTGCCTCATCCTCCTGAGTAGCTGGGACCACAGGTGCGTGCCACCACGCCCGGCTAATTTTTTTGTATTTTAGTAGAGACGGGGTTTCATCATGTTGGCCAGGATGGTCTTGATCTCCTGACCTCGTGATCCACCTGCTCAGCCTCCCAAAGTGATGGGATTACATGCGTGAGCCACCGCACCCGGCCTGGCACACATTTCTTACTGTTCTCCATGTGTCGGCATGCCTCTACCGCTAAGCCAGTGTTTTTCAAGTATGTTTATCTGGACTCCTTCTCTACAATGAGGAATCCATAGTTGGTTTTCTGCTACTGTCCATTAGCTGAAATCATTTCGCTGCTTGATTTTATGGAGTTTGTGTTATGAAATCAGTGAGTATTTTGAATGTTCATTCAAACTACATGCAACTCTCCACTAACCCCACCCCATCCCATCCTACCTTGAGAATCACTGCTCTGAACCAGTGTTCCCAAGCTTGTCCTCTCACAGATCTCATAGGAAATGATCTTAGGATCCAATTGGAGAAATCACATGAAAAGTTAGCATAGTTGGTCTTGGTGTCACATGGATCAGAGGCACAAGCTCAGAAGCTGTGAGCACGTGGAACACGCGGTTATTTAAGCTGGCCATCCAGACAATCCTGAACACTGTATCTATTTGATTTAGAGTACCAGCAAAAATTAAAGCAAAAATGTAAAACATTTGAGAAAATTAACAGCTCCCTACCCCAAGAGTACATCTGTGAAAGAGCCCCACACAATTTGAAAACTGAAGACTCCCTTATCATGAAGTTTGGCTGTTCTAGAACTGTAAGATTGTTAATTCCCTTCTTCAGTCCCTAGTGAGAACACTTAATTTCTTTTCTAATAAAAAAAATACCTATAGATGACTCAGTGATTTTTGTCCAATTTGTTTCCATGTTCTTCTCAAGACATTAAGGAATGTTACGTGAAGTACACTGACTTAAAACTATGTCTGTGTTTAACCCTGCCGTTATAAATAAAGACATGTGCTGCTGTCATTCACTGAGTACAAATGGTTCATATAATTTTGAAATTTCATATTGAAATGCCAGCTCCAGCTTACTGAATAATGCTTAGGGTTCAATAATTGTCTATGCAGCTATAAAAAAATGATGAGTTCCTTTGTAGGGACATGGATGAATCTGGAAACCATCGTTCTCAGCAAACTGACACAAGAACAAAAAATCAAACACCACATGTTCTCACTTATAGGCGGGTGTTGAACAATGAGAACACATGGACACAGGGAGGGAAGCATCACACACTGGGGTCTGCAGAGGGGGACTAGGGGAGGGACAGCGGGGGATAGGTAGTTGGGGAGAGAGAACATGGGGAGAAATGCCAGATATAGGTGATGGGGATTGAGGCAGCAAACCACATTGCCATGTATGTACCTATGCAACAATCATGCATGTTCTGCACATGTACCCCAGAACCTAAAGTGCAATAAAATATACTTAATAGTCTTTTTCATTTCACATTTCTTTTTTCCATTTCCCACTTAAGGCACTTGTACTTCTCATTTCTTTTGTGGGCCCTAATCACTCCCTTCAACCGAGATTGCTATGGATGATTGATCGTGTTACACACTGCACAATATGAGTGCAACCCCTGGAGGTTACACACAGTGCCGGATCCATGCTGGACCACTTGCCTGCCCTTTCACCCTTCTTTGTGTTCATTGTGTTTATTTCTCCTGAGATGCCTTTTCTTCTCCTTTGTTTTCCTTTGAAATTCCTCCTTGTTCAAGGCCTGATTTACAGACTCTTTCCCCTATATTTTCTCTCTCCTTTCATGGCCTTTAAATCATCGTTCCCTCTTCTGGAAGCCAAGAACACTGTGAACGTAGATAGTCTTCAGCTCTTATGGGCTGTGTTGCAGTTAATCATCTGTATTGGTCTCTTGCCAAATTCAGAATTACTTAAAGACAAGAACCTGGACTTAACTACAGAAACCCAGTTCCCAGCATAGAAGAGCTATTTTATCAAAGCAATGTACACATATGGTTTAAAAAGCCAAATAGTACTAAAAGTCTGTCCTGCTCTACCTGCCTCAAACCCAGATCCTGGTAAAGGTCCTGATAAAGTACCTTACAGGGTCATGTGTCCCTCCCAAGAGTATCCCCTCTCCACCCCTCCATAGAGGTAACTACTAGTTCGTTTTTGTTGTAGTCATTCTGATACTTTATAGTTTTACTCCTTATAATAACTCTAAGCAATACACCTTTGAAAAACAATAACACCAGCTCAGCTGTGTAAGAAAAGGGCGCCATCACAGTTAGACAATCCCAAGAAGGGATAAACTGAACACTGACTCTGAGTTATAGACTGGCTTCAGCGTCCCTTGCAAGTTTTCCAGAGCCCTTTCTGGGGAAGCAGAAGTGCTGCTGAGTGAGTCCTTGGAAACACAGAGCATCCCACAATCAGGGAGGCTATAGTGTGAACCAAGCACAGGGTGTCCCCGGAAAGATGGTCCATGGCAGAGGGCTGCTCTGCATTTTCTGCTTCTAAGCTCAGCGTGGCTCCGCCCGCAGCTTTCAGGAGGCGGTCAAAGCACACCCACACCACCTCAGCTGGCCAGCTCTGTAGCAAACAGAACAGAAATGTCAACAGCACCAGGCATGCCAAGTACAGGTAAGGATCTGCTTCAGGCCCATTTCAGCTTTCTGTCCTCAAGTTAAAACTATACAACAGAGAAGCCTCAACATGGAAAATTACACTTGGTGTAATACACGTGTTCTGGTGCCCTCTGTCCCTAAAGCAGGCAGAGTTCTCTATCTGGGATCTCCCTTTACTGTCATTCTGGGGATTCCCTTTGTCTCTCCTATGTTGGATCTCCTCTTCCCTGTAACCCACATGTATGAGTTAGAATACATGCTAGGCTGGTAGAACAAAGATATAATGCTTAATAGAGGCATCTTTATCAACAAAGTCCAGAGGCAGGCAGGCGGCATTTGCTCCCACTGACCCAGGGGTCATAGGTACCACTTTTGCTGGCATCCCATTGGCCAGAACTTAGTGTCATAGCGCCACTAGCTGCAGGACAGGCTAGGCAGAGGGGACCCTGCCTAGGAAGCCTCTTGCCCAACTAAAACTCACCGAAACTCTATAGAAGGTTTATAGTCTATAGGAGATAGGAGATCTATACCAAAAGACGGGGAGAATGACTATGGAAAGAAAATTAGCAAACTGAGTCTTTCTCTTTTTTATTCTTTTTCCTCTGAACCCCAATGTTCTTTCTCTGTTTTACATTTGAAAGCCTTCCCAAATGTCTGGAGATCTGACTATCTGTAAATATTTAAAGAATGAGGCACTAAAACACTGATTGGAAGACTTGTGTGCATAGATTAGGCTCGCCAACTGATAGCGTCACCACAGAGTCTTTGTTCAAATGGGCTCCCCCATTCCCCCACCTAAAACTTACACCCTCCCTTCCACTCTCACTTAGCATTCCCTATCCCTCTTTTTTTTATTTATTTTTCTCTATAGCATTTATCTTTTTTTAAATTTTGAGATGGAGGTCTTAATCTGTCATCCAGGTTGGAGTGCAGTGGCTTGATTTCAGCTCACTGCAACCTCTACCTCCTGGGTTCAAGCGATCCTCCCACCTCAGCCTCCAGAGTAGCTGGGACCACAGATGCACGCTCCATGGAGACTCACCTAATTTTTTGTATTTTTGGTAGAGACCGGGTTTCATCTTGTTGCCCAGGCTGGTCTCAACTAAGCTCAAGTGATCTGCCTGCCTTGGCTTCCCAAAGGGCTGGGATTACAGGTATGAGCCACCACACCCAGACTATCTTTTAATATATTGTGTAGTTTAGTTTACAGTCTCTTCGCTACTAGAATATAACTGCCTTGAGGTCATGGATTGGTGTCTATTTTATTTACTGCTGTATCTTCAGCATCAAGACTGCTTGGCAGATAGTAAGCACTTGATATACTTGTTGAGTGAACAAATTAAAAATGAACAGGTGTGGATCTGGCTGTCTCACTGGGAGAGCCCCAAATAGTTGGCTCCTAGACACCTTTTCTTTTGAGACTTTAGTCTCTTCAGCTTCACAGCTGGAGAACTGTGCCTCATCTTCAGAGTTCTGGCTGCCAAGCAGGGAAAAGGGACATGACAGCTCCCTGGCTGGTGTGCAGACTCTCATGTAAACTCCTGTTTTCTGCCCTGCTCCTTGCTGAGTAATTCTGTGTGATATGCAAGGATAGGAAGAATGATCTTTCAAACAGCACGGAGAGATTGTCACTAGGGACTGGTAGAAAAAAAACAATAAAAATAACCAACCAAAAATTTACATCCAAAGCTCTACTCTGTTTACTGAAGAAAGCAAGTGATCCAATCTCCTGTGAATGTTGCTGATTTTAATAACAACCTTCTCTGCTTCCTCCAGCCTGGCTCTTTGGGCTGGACTCCTGACAACCATTTCTTCCCATTCAAGTCTGTCCAAAGATGCCCCTTAAGGAGGAAGAACTGCCAGTGGTGGTAAATGGATCTGTGTGACCCACACCACACTATTTCAATTCCCAGTGAGTATTACGAAGTCATTATCTTGACATTCGGTTGCCAGAGAAAGCCATGCTCCCTAATTTACTACATTAATAATTATTCACAGGTCCTGAGAAATATTGTAATGAACTGGGCTCCTGAAATACTTAGAATTTCTTTCTTGTATTAATAGCAGTCTTCTTATCAAATACACTGAACGTTTGAAGGGGCAGAATTTAATCTTACTTATTAGGGGAAGAGAATTCTGGCCTGGTCCCTTTAAGCACAAGTGATATTTAATCATAGGTCTGTATTTATGCACAAGTGTATACTTTCTGTCCCCGGGCGACTTTTCTGGTGAGCAGTGCAGAGCTGAAGGTAGGAGAGAGAGGGGGAAGTAGGAGAGCCAATGACGGTACAGAACATCGGGCAACCCGTGGCTCTGGGGTTTCTTACTGGCTCTTCCTGCACACTCAACTCCTCCCTCCCAGTTGGCTGGGCTCAGGCCTCTGGGGACCTGCAGCTGAGCTTTCTCAGAAGCAAGCAAAGCTGCCTCCTTCCTGTTCTTGTGTGCCTTGTGAAACCTAAAACACTTCATATCTAAAACTACCAGCTGTTTATGGGGTGGAGATTTGGCTCTTCCTCCCATTATTACTCTTCTAAGTCATCCTTGAAAACTGGGTGTGGATGATCTTTAACACAGTCTGCCCAGGGTTCTAGCCAGATGTGTTAAATGGGGACCAGAGGACCCACTCTGGACATGGAGGACCAGCAGCTCCTGGGAAGGCAGAATTAAAGACCATAGCTGGCACCTGTGGCCACAAGAGCAGTACCCCAACATCTACAATGTGACCCTTGTGTAGAGCTGGCTCTGGGTGCCTTTATCCAGCCCCCTGCATAGAAGATCTCCTTTAGCCTCACCAAAGCAGTCTCTGTATGATTAAAAAGTGCAGGGGGTGGCAGGGACAGGCTGCCCCCAGAAAGGGAACAGTGTGGGCATCTCCAGACAGGTAAACCACAGGAAAACCAAGGAGCCCTAGTTCTCCTCCCATCCAGGAAGCCTTTAGCACAAGGGAGGGGAGAGCACAGCTTAGGTTATTTTTGAATCCTTTTCCCCACTCTGAGTGAAGGTGTGGCTCAATGGCAGACTGTCCTTAATCTAACCGTTGGAATCCTCCTCCTCCAAGTGAGAAAAGGAGCAAAGGATGCAAAGCGCTCCTTCAACAATCCCTGAGCTGGGAGAAGAAAATCCCTCCTTTATAGGAATTTGATGAGCGAGGTATAAGTGATCCCCACTAAGGAGCACAAGCTTTAGTAGGAGGACTTTTTCTCTTCTGATTATTTTTTGATTATGAGATTGAGCCCCTGTGTACTGCAGAACTCCGGTGGGGAGCAGTCCTCAGGCCTATTGAGAGGGTCAGAGAATATACATATCCTGTTTTTCATAGCATATACATAAAGAGGTATGAGTCTACAAAGCTTAATTGCATCTATTTTTCCAATTTTTTTTTTTCAGACGGAGTCTCTCTCTGTAGTCCAGGCTGGAGTACAGTGGCACCATCCCGGCTCGCTGCAACCTCCGCCTTTCAGGTTCAAGCAATTCTCCTGCCTCAGCCTCCCAAACAGCTGGGACTACAGGTGCCTGCCACCACACCCAACTAATTTTTTATAATTTTTGTAGAGATGGGGTTTCACCATGTTGGCCAAGGTGGTCTCAAACTCCTGACCTCAAGTGATCTGCCCACCTCGGCCTTCCAAAGTGCTGGGATTACAGGTGTGAACCACCATGCTCAGCCCTTTTCCAATATTTTAATAAAGGTAAACAGCTGATTTACCTAGTTAGAAGTTTTACATGGTTTATTTTCTTGTATGGTGGCAGCAGCAAGGGATATAATATAAACTCAATTCAAGGATAACTGCCATATACATATAATTATCTATTCAAAATACTTAATTCACTTTTTTTTTTAAAGCATCCCAGTATTTAGAGTAGCTTTTGACCAATTCTGCTTTCTCAGTTGATGGCAAAAGCACACCCAGTATATGTAGAGAGGCTGTCGTCTGCCTCATCTTTTACTATGGCAAAAAAAGGAGAGTCTACAAACTTGGAAATACTGAAAACTACTGCCCTGAACCAAAGAGGTGATTGATGGTGGTAGCTCTGAGATTTCCTACTTATAGAAAATCTAGCAAATCGCTGCCATGTGAGGGTAGTATCAAATAATGGTCATTCTTACCAAAGTCAGTGTGCAAGGAATCTTCAGCAGTCTTTCCCGGGCATTTAAAGAGGGTATTTACAGCATCTTGGGAGGCCAAGGCAGGTGGATCACTTGGGGTCAGGAATTTCAAGACAAGCCTGGCTAACATGGCAAAAATCCATCCCTACTAAAAATACAAAAATTAGCCGGGCGTGGTGGCACATGCCTGTAATCCTAGCTACTCTGAGCTCAGAGTCTCCAGAGTAGCTGCTTCAGAACACTGGGTCTACAGTACATGAGCAGAGAGCAGAGATCGCACCACTGCATGCCAGCCTGGGCGACAGAGGGAGACTCCATCTCGAACAAACAAACAAACAAAGAAGTAGATGTTTCATTTGTCCCAGACACTAGCAGAAGAGCGAGGGGGTAGCACTGCAAAACCTCAAGCTTGGTAAATTTACTTAGCAGACATTCACACAGGCTTGTGAAGACTGCTGGGCTGGAAGCTTGACCTTGGAACTTGCCAGAGCCTTTAATATGTTAGTTAGCGTGCATCGTGAATTTCCAAAGTAGTGACTAAGTACGCATTATCTCTCAAAGTTTTTACCTGTCTTTTTTTCAAGACACACCTCTGTCAGAATTCATTTTAAGGGTTACAAACACTGGAAATGCTGATTTATTGCCCTTTCACTTCTCTCCCCTTTGCCTCTCTCACTTGCTCTTCCACAGTTAACAGCATTTCATGCAAGGGATGCTCTTATGGTCTGAATGTTTCCGTCCCTCCAGAATTCATAGGTGAAAATCCTAACCTCTGAGGTGATGGTATTAGAAAGTGGGGCCTTGTGGGAGGTGATTAGGTCATAAGGGTGGAGCCCTCATGAATGGGATTAGTGCCCTTTTAAAGAGGCCCCAGAGGGCTAGCTTATCCTTCCACCTTGTGAGGACACAGTGAGAAGCCACCATCTATAAGCTAGGAAATGGGTTCTCTTCAGACTCTGAAGCAACCAGGAGCTTGGTCTTGGACTTCCCAGCCTTCAGAACTATGAGAAATATATTTCTGTTGTTTAGAGGCTACCCAGTCTATGGTATTTTGTTGTAGTAGCCCCAGCAGACTAAGACAGATGCTGAATGGGTGCATCATGTCAACGTTTGGCATTTCTTCTATGTCAGCATTCTGTAACTTATTCACACTTTCAGCTGGTAATTTGGTGTAAGCCCCAAGTTTCTCAATAATCACACAAAGCCCATCAAGTCTTCATCTGCTGGTTCAATTCAAGCATCATTATAATCCAAAGTCTGTGCCAAGAGCTGTTAATGCTGATTTATCAAGAGTCCCAAGCATTGGCAACTATATAAATGGCATCCTTAAGATTGAACTCTTCTGAAAAGTCATAAATTCTATGACTCTGTTAAATGTAGCCAGCAAACCATTAGCAAAGGCAAATGCAAAAAGATACACTTGCTTGTCATGGATTGCAGAATTCTGTGGTCATGAGGCTGTATTGTGGGTGTCACGGTGAGTAATCATAGGAGGGTGTGAGAAGCATTTGCCCAGAAACAAATTTTTTTCCATTTTTATCTGGTTTTGGTGGCTTTGCTGTGAATGGATGTCACCGGTCTACAGTGGTTACAGAACCAGTCAGAACACATTTTTCTAGCTACTTATACTTTTCTTCCTCCCTTCCTTCTCTCCTGCCCTCCCTACCTCCTTTCTTTCTTTTCTCTCTTCTCTTTCTTTCTTCTGTTTTCTACAACTTTATTAAAGTATATTTTCTTCAATGAGAGTATGTTTAAGCTGCGACAGGAACTGGTCCTAGAATCTAAAATTCCTGCTCCTTTCATGGTTCAGAAGCCATGTGGACTGAATTCAAATTTTGGTTAGACATTTTCCCAACTGTGTGACTATAGGTAAGCAAATCTCTCAAGTTTGGCTTATTATCAGAATAAAAGATGATGAAAATTAAATTGACTAATTACATTAAAATTAAAGATGATAAACAGAGAAACCTCACTCTGGCTTCCCAAGGCTGAATGGGCCCTACAACCAGCTCTCCATTCTCCCAGCCACTTCCTACCTATAAAAAGCATGTTGCTTTTTCCTATTATCTGTTTTGGGTTACATCAAATATTAACCACAGGGTTGGTGTGTTGACAAGTCACAGCATTTGAAGAATCCTAATCGGTTCAGACTTTGGAATAGTTTCCTCGGAGGTGGGTGGTAAGGAAAGTGGGGAGGGAGGATGACTTTAATGACTCCTTGACCTTGAAGTCAGCCTTGCAAGTCAACTAAAAGAATGTGTCTCCCGGCAACATGCCTAGTCTCCCTCACACGGCCCAAAGACAGCAGTGAAACAGCAACCTCAAAGGAGGACATTGACTTCAGTGTTTGCTGGATCACTGTACATTTTTCTTAGAATGCTTACAGAGGCGGTTTGCCAGTCAGTAGAGTATGTGAGCTTTGGAGTCAGGTCCTGGTTCTTTCCAGATCTCCCACTTATTAACCATGTGGCCTTAGGCTGTTATGTGCTCATTTTAGAATAGAGATACTGACAGCCCGTGGTCACTGGACTGCTGGGACAATAAAATGATAGCGATAATGAGAGTGGTTTTACTTACAGAGTGCTGACTCTGTGCAAGGCACTGGTTTCAGCACTTTATGTGTGTGAACTCATTTACTCCTTCCAGTGACACTATGGGGTTAGCAGTCCATTAGCTGCATGTTATAAATGAGCAGATAAAGTCCAGAGAGAGGTCACTATATCTGTCTGAGGTCACACAGTAAGGGGTGGAGCTGGGATGTGAATCAGCCTGCGCAGTCTGGCTTCACATGCTCAACCACCCCACCAGACCACTTTCCTGTGCTATATTAGCTCTTCTAAAGGAAATCATGTATGCAGAATGTCTGGCCCTCAGCAAAAGCACAATAAATGGTGATATTGAAATAATAAATGATACTTCCATTTCCTCAGGCCTCGCCAGCTTATGGACATCATACAAACACCTCTTGCCAGCTCCAAAACCAGGCCCCGACATCTCCCATGGACCTCCTGTTCTTCCACACTTGCCCCTCTCTGAGGTCCTGCCTGTGAAGTCCCTCGAGGTCGCGCCTCACCCTGCCACTGATGTTGGTATCCCCTAGGCCTCTCCCTTGAGCCATCTGGCCAAGCTCCCTGGACCCCAAGCACAAATGGGTATCTGGGCCTAAACAGTCACTACCATCTACTTGGAGACTGGTGACTTTCTGTTCCCCGCTAACTGTGTTCTGTTACATTCAATAGACATTTCCTAGGCAAGTATGATACTTTGGAGAGAGTGCTAGAAGACATACAAAAATAAAGGAAGAGCTAATGGTAGTCCACCTTCCTTGGATGTCTGAGCAAATGGCATTTGTGAACAACAAGCAAAAAACAAAGTAAGTTACAAGCAACAAGTATGTTTACAAGGACAGCCTCTAGCAGCGTAGGGCCACCCAACACCTACTAATACTAAGGTGCTATACAAGTTTAGTCTTTTTTATCACATTCATTAAACTTGTGAGGAGCAGGCTGGGCTCGGTGGCTCACACCTGTAATCCCAGCACTTTAGGAGGCCGAGGCAGGTGGATCACTTGAGGTCAGGAGTTCGAGACCAGGCTGGCCAACATGGTGAAACTCTGTCTCTACTAAAATTACAAAAATTAGCCTGGCGTGATGGCGGGTGCCTGTGATCCCAGCTACTCAGGAGACTGAGGCAAGAGTAATCGCTTGAACCTGGAAGGCAGAGGCTGAAGTGAATGGAGATCACCTGGGCAATGGAGTGAGCCTCCGTCCCAAAACAAACAAACAAAAATTGTGTGGGTTATAAAAGAGAAAGTTTTGTTGTTGGTGGTGGTGATGGTGATGTGCAGCTTAGAAAAATGCCCAGGCATACTTGATAGCACCTATTAGCTTTTGTACATGATAGTCTCTATATCTGATCTTGCTAAGGACTTTTCTTAACTTTTGCTTTCTGTCTAGTCAGAGAAAGCATTTTAACCTTGCCTGGGCACTAGCTTGCAATGAGCCTTCCTACCCATTAGGAGGGGTTCTAGCAGGTGGCCTCTCAGGGATTTTGGTACGTAGTTACTTTAAACCAGAATGGTTTTATTGCCTCTGAGGCCATTATTCCTCAGAGGAAGTCACTAAATTTAAAAAACCAACCCTACTCCTCTTCCAGCCAATGGGACAGAAGCCCCAAGAACAATGTTCAGTGACCCAGGCTTGGCAGTGGGGAGAGAATTAGACAAGAGAGTTCAAGAAAAATGAAAATTGCCTACACAGATTTTAATTTTATGGAAACTGAAATGGAGAATGTTGTATTTTTCCTCAGCCTTAAATTTATGAAAAGTAAAGGTGAAAGTGAGATATTTCCACTTGGGAGGAGGAAAGAAAAAGCACTCTCAAGTTCTAAACTGGCCTGCCTGAGGACAGTGGTTACTCAGTAACTCTCTTTAGAACTGACTTAGCCAAATTTGGTGTTACAAAGCCCTTTGGCTTAAAAAGATTATTTATTTATGATTGTGCTCCAATATTTCTTCTCATTCTTATAAGGCAGCTGAATATTTTTAAAAATCAGAAAGTAACTAAAAGGTAGACAACTCAGGTAAAAAAAATATATTCTGAGACAGTAGAAAATTTTATCATTATAAACAAAAAATATTGAGAAATTTAAATTTCCTGTTTAAAGTGCCTTAAAAATTCATATAAGACTGTTTCTGAGGTTTTTTCAGAATTTAATTTTACATTAACTCTGACAGGGCTCTGATGACTGGAGAACACCAGGGTTCTTGGTCTCAAGCTGACAGGATTAATGACATGGACACACGTGGAGTGGTTTTAAGGAGTGAAAAGTTTAATAGGCAAGAAAGAAGGAAGGAAGAAGAAAATAGCTCCTCAGTACAGAGACAGAGAGAGGAGGGATTTAAACAAAGAGAAAACCCTGTGTGCACAGAAAAGTGGCTGCTTATATTTGGATGTTGAAGGAGGTGGTGTCTGGTTTGCCTAGGGCCCAGGGGATTGGTTTGACCAGATGTATCATTTACCTAGCCAGAAAAAAATCTGGCCCTCCCACCTTAGCCCTTTAGTATGCAAATGTAGGTCGCCATGATGTTCTGAGCCCTTGGTGTTATCTGGAGGTGGCCATGACATTTGGTACACTTGGCGACCAGGAAAAGACGGCAGGGATCGCCAGTTTTTAAGGGCCTGGATTGGCATATGGAAGCTTGCCAGCCCAACCCTTCAAGCCACCTTTTCTGTTAGGAAAGAGACAGTTCAGAGGTTCTTATTACTGGAAAAATTCCACCGAGAAACTTTACCCTTACTATCTGCCTAAAAATTATTTTTAATAGCTCCTGTATCAACTCCAGGAGAACCATAATTATTATTATAGGACAAATTCCACTGAGAAACTTTACCCTTATTATCTGCCTAAAAATTATTTCTTAATAGCTCCTATATCAACTCCATGAGAACCATAATTATTATTATAGGAAAAATTCCACTGAGAACCTTTACCCTTACTATCTGTCTAAAAGTTATTTTTAATAGCTCCTGTATCAACTCCATGAGAATTCATAGCCCTAGGTCATTGACTGGTCCAAAGGGTCAAGGACTCAGTGCTCAGTAAAAGCCCAGAGAAACCATGAGCAGGAGAGGAGATTATAAGGTCAACAAAATGTGAAGGGAGGGCACAGGGCTAATGTGTGGTCCTGAGAAGGTCTAGGTCAGCCCACAGCTCCCACCCACCTCCCCATAAAGAGAGATCATTTTGGGAGTTGGAAGCTGCTAGGCTGCCCTAGGCCTCAGGGAAGTCTGGTCTTTTGGTCAGATTTGGAAAAATGGGGGTAGAGTGGTGGAACTGTAAAAAACGATCAGGGAGAAGGAAGAGCCTGGGGTCTAGAGGTCAAAGGTCACGCTGGCGGTGGAAGGGCAAGGGAAAGCCCTGTGTGCTGGAGTAGAGAGTGGAGGAGGAGGAATGGCCTGGAGGAGCTGGGTGCTACTCCAGACCCGAGAAGTGGAATGGATTGTCTCATGGTTCTCAAAGCATGATCTGCAGACCAGCAGCATAAGCATTGCCTAGGAACTTCTATAAATGCAATTCTCAGACCCCACCCCAGATGGACAAAATCAGAACTCTGCAACTGAGGCCCAGCATTCTGTTTCTGGCTTTTTAAATTTGTTTTATTTTTTAGAGACAAGGTATTGCTGTGTCACTCAGGCTGTACTCAAACTCCCAGGCTCAAACAATCCTTCACCTTAGCCTCCAAAGTAACTGGGCCTCTAGGCACATTCCACCACACCCAGCCCCTGTTTTAATTCGCCTCTCAGGGGATTCTGATGACTACTACAGTTTGAGAACAACTTGTTTAACAAAATACTGTGTTTCAGGTACTGAGACCCCACACAGCAATTCATGAAACCAACTGTTTACTGGCCTGACTGAACTGCTGTAACAAATTATTACAAACACAGTGGCTTAAAACAATGCAAACTTATTCTCTTTACAGCTTTGGAGGTCAGAAGTCCAAAATCAGAATGACTGGGCTAAAGTCAACATCTCAGCAAGGCTGGTTCCTTCTGGAGGCAGTGTGGGGAGACTCCATCACCTCATCATTTCTGGCTTTTAGAACCCATCTTCATTCCTTGGCTTGGGGCCCCTTTCTCTGTCTTCAAAGGGCAGCCACTTCAAATCTCTTGCCATCACATTTCCTACTCCCCTAATGCTCATCCTACTGCCAGCCTTCTATAAAGGCCCTTGTGATTACAGTGATTAAAATGAACCCTCTCAGAACAATCTCTGTATCCCAAGATCCTTAACTTAATCAAACCGGCAAAATCCCTTTTGCCATGAAAGGCAACCTATTCACATGTTCTGGGGATTAGGAATGTACACATTTTTGGGGAGGCCATTATCCTGTTTCCTACAGAGAGGAAGATGAGAAATATGCACTTTCATTTGCTTGTATTCACATAAATAAACAGTTATCATGCACAAGACCACTAATAAATCTGATTACCTGTGAAGGATGGGGAGTAAGAGGGGAAGGAATGGGAGCTAGGACTTCCTTCTCAAAGTTGACTTTTTATATTATTTTGGGCTTTGAGCCAGGCAAATATATTACCTTTTACACAATGTTAACCACCAAAAAATAAAGAGAATGAGACCCCTTTTAGTAATTTCTGGCTGTTGAACCATTCTGTTTGAATATAACATGTCAGAGATCAAACCACTGTGACCTTTGGAGCCCCAGTGTTTACAAGTATTGAAAGCAAAAGCATTTTAGTGGTGATTTAGGTAGCAGGCAAAAAAATAGAATCTTGCTTGGGCATGAACAAAACAAGATAGGCACTAAGTCAAAAATGAGGGACTAAGCTTGACCTTCAAGGAAAGTTAATGTTTTGGACTTTGTTCATGTTTTTGAGTTAAAAAGTTCTGCAGATCTTCCAGATGCCCAACAAAGGAAGAGGGCTTGAGATGGCCATTCCTTCTCCTTAATGAAAAAAATAACAAAGTATTATGTCCACTAAACCGCCTTTGTAAAAATCATAGTAGTTAGGGAAATCTAACATAACTGACTCCAACTTGCTTCTACCAGGCTAATGTGCTTTTGCTCATTCTTATGTGGAAATCATAACAGTCCTTTCCCTCCTTGAACTGATCTCCTCCTTGTTCAAAAATTGAAACCATATTTGCAAATACCAACAAAAGGTCACAAGGTTAGAATTGTGGTAGAGGCCTGAACTTTGCTAAGGAATAGGCATGAGTGAACAATAACCGTTCATTGTTTGCTTAACTTGCTTTCTGTAAGTTGCTTACTGCCCCAGAGTTACACAACTGGAGGTTGCAAGATTTGTAATTTCTCCAACTACTCCTATGGATAATATCACTATTTTGAAACCTAAAGAACTGTTATTTCAAATATTTTTCAGATTTAGCATTCTGGCAGACAAGAGATGCCACCTGGTCCTGAGACCCCTCCTCAGAACTGACTCAGCTGCATGAGGGCAGTTTAGACACCCCTGTAATTTCATCCTCAGCCAATCAATTATTTCAGTTCCCAAGCCCCCTACCCACCAAAATATTCTTAAAAACCCTAGTAGCTGAATTGTTAGGGAGGTGGATTAAGAAAAATCTCCCATTCTCCTCACTTGGCTGGCCCTGTGATAATTAAGCTCTTTCTTTGCTGCAACACTTGCTGCTCTCAATGCATTGGTTTTTTGGGAGGCAGCAGGCAGGAAGAACCTGTTAGGCTGTGACATAAATTGCATGCTATTTTCTTAAATAATAATAAATAAGAGAGAGCACTTTGCTCTGAACATGTGAGAGAATGCCAGGCACTTTTATTCTAATGCTGGTCATTAGTTTACTGTTAAACATTATGCTATACAATAAAGCAGGACAACTGAGATTTTAAGACACAGCCTGCCTCATGACAGGGAAATCAAGTGCATGTAGTTAAAGGAGCATCTGCATACAGTTAAACACTGCGTATACCACCAAAACCATACCCAACTTTGGTATGCCCAATGAGAACTCTTCTGTCTCCCCATCTTGTCTTACTGCCCAAACTTCAATGAAGACTCCCAGTCAAAGATGTCTCCAAGAACCATTTTGTTCTTGTTCTGCATCTCCACAGTGGTTCACCACTTATCACTTTTCCATTCTATATGTTCATCAACTCCCCATACACTTGGCCTCCCTGATCACCCTGGTCCTACACGCCAGCTGATACTGGCTACTCCTGAGATGGAGCATACAGTTTCAAGTGTTAGCATGCTTTTTATTTTCATTTGCAAGTTTGCAATTATTGTTCCAGCTGGGGCAGTCTGGCCTTTCAGTCCCATGTATTACACAGGTTATGCCAGGCTGTATGCTAGATGGAGGGTTGGGAAGCAGGTCACAAAGAAAAATCAAGACATAGTCCCTGCCCCTCAAGTAATAGCCCAGTAGAGACCACCAACACACAAATACCTAGAAATGCCATAAACACCAAAACAGAGGTATGAATAAAGAGCTAAGGAAAGACACAAACAAAAAACAAAAACAAACAAACAACAAAAAAAAACCAAATTCTTCCTGGGAAAGTCACAGAAAAAACAGAAATTATCTTTAAGATGGGCTTCTCAGGGTATACAGGCGTTTGCAAAGTAGAAAGGGAATGGCAACCCACCCCAAGCCACTGGAATAGTTTAAAGTCTGCCAGTACACAGACAATCTTAATGGACAGTCCAGTGTGTCAAGATGGCAGCACCTTTTCTGCCTGGGGGAGGAGTGCTCAGGCAGAAAAGGCATGGTTAAGTTATAACAGGCCTAATGGCAAAGAGGACTCTGGAGGTAACTAAAGGCAATAGGGCTCTTCTGTGAAGATGTGTGTCTAGATCAGATTTGTGTTAGGGATATAATTCCAAAGGAACTGTGGAGCCCTTCGTGAGTTTAGTAGGCTTTCCTGAAAATGTGGGAAGCTTCTGGGGAGGGGCTGCATCATCTCTCTCCCCTCCCTATCTGCACTCCTCAGCCCTGGGAAGTTCCAAATTCTTTTCCATCTATTATGCAGAGTAGCTTCTCTACTTCTCCAGCCTTAGTCCCAGACAACACTCAAGCCTATAAGGGGCTCACTTCTATGTTTAATTATCAAAGCATTTTTCTAAATAAAGGCAGTTACCATGTTGAGATAAATTTTGATCTTGATAGTTAAAGACAATATAAATTTATCTCACCACACATGAACCATTTATAGTATCAACAACATCTTAGATATTACACATAATGAAAATTATCTGTGAAGCATACTTATGCTTGAGAGATACAAGGCAGTATTCTCCAAATCATTTTAGTATTTCAACATGGAAGGTAAAATAACTACAGGACACTTCATTAAACTTGTTTTAAAAAAGGTTTATTCATTACAAAAAGTTAAATACTAAAGCTAAAAACATATAAATTCAGGTCAGGCTATATTAAAATACACACATACCCTTTTTGCAAAATTATTAAAGGTTGAATTAAACAGATGCTTTAAATAAAATAAAGTACTCTTTGAGGACATTTTTGTCAGATTAACTATAACAATGTAGTGTAGTTTTTAAAATTGAAGTTGAAAAGTTTAGCTGTCTTGGAAGTCAAATTCATCCAATTGTTCAGACTTCAGTTACTACTCAGTATGAAGCCACCATGCTGGCTTGGACAGAATTAATTTCATTTGCATTATGGAAAGTTCTATATTACAAATCTAGTCTCCTATAATATGAACAGAGTAGTCAGAAGTATACAAAGAGTTAAATAGGATAAAGAATTTGGCCGAGAAAGGAAAGGCCTTAGTTCTACAATATAGTATCTTCTCTAATTAAAATGATTGGGAAATACATGGAAGCAGAAATCAGCACAAAGCATATACTCATCTAGAAATAATCCTTCAATTAAAAAAAAAAAACTCTCAAAACCAGCACTCATTTTTCTAAGATAGGTTATAAGTATTTCACAATTTCTTGTTATATTAAATTGAGTTAAAGGTACTGACGAGTCTATATGCAAATGGGTTTAAACACTAATTTGATTTCTCTTCTGACTTAGCTCTGGAGAGCTGTGACATCTGGGTATTGGTGTCACTCACACAGGTGGTAAGAACTTTCATAACAAAACTACATGCTCCACACCAACTGGGCACTGGTTTCCAAACCCAATTCCACTTCAGGTCAAACAACCTTAAAGAACTATCTATAGTCTAGTTAAATGTTAAATAGTATTTTCAAGAAAATACCCTTTTTGCTTTACAGTTTGTATTTTTCAATTTCCTAGATGAAAAGTTACTGATTTTGAACTTTAAATGCTGTAATTCATATAGGGGTGAGAATATGCTCATGAAAAACAAAAGGCTCTTAATGCATTTCAGAAGTCTTAAATGTGAATAAATTTCTAGAAATCTACCAGGGTATCTGTTTTTTACAATGCTAATCCTTGTCAAATGGAATTTGCTAATGGTTGATTAACTTAAGTGATTAAAATACAAAAGACATAATCTATTCCAGTAATCTTCATTGATACAGCCCAATTAAAATATTTCTTGGAATATATTTACAGGGAAGTTTTACTATTTCACTTTGTTTTTGTTTTCGAGATGGAGTTTCACTCTTGTCACCAGGGTGGAGTGCACTGGTGCGATCTCAGCTCACTGCAACCTCCGCCTCACAGGTTCAAGTGATTTTCCCACCTCAGCTTCCCGAGTAGCTGGGACTACAGGCATGCGCCACCACACCCGGCTAATTTTGTATTTTTAGTAGAGATGGGGTTTCACCATGTTGGCCAGGCTGGTCTCTAACTCCTGACCTCAGGTTATCCTCCTGCCTTAGCCTCCCAAAGTGCTAGGATTACAGGCCTGTGCCACCATGCCCAGCCTAATGTTTCCTTTAGCAGTGTTGGGATACAAACAAGGGCTAACAGGATGGAGTCCCAATACTATACTATAAAACTATGTAATCAAATTTTTGAAAAGTTGGAAAAATGGTGTGTATACTAATGTCACTGGAAATTAAAGAAAAATATATGCCAGTATTAACTTACAGATGAAAATGATGCTGACAATAGATAATAATCTGTTTTTCCATCTCTAGGTTTGTGAGTTTCTGATATGGTTATTCCTCTATACATGTAATATGAAAGAAAGAAACTATCATTCTGTCCTCTATCCCAGTCCATTCCCCTATATAAGCAAGTCTTAGACTTATATCCTTTCTTTGAACTTACTGTGTAATCTTAAGAGGACAAGATTCATGCTACTCTTTCTCAAATAATCTACAGTCCTTGAAAAGAAGTCAAAGAATTTAAGCCACTGATGTCATAATCTTAGTAAATAACACTAAAAAAAAATTATTGAGCCAACTTCAATAGCAAATTCTCAACAGAGCATCTTTCTCTGTGAGCATCTTTATAAATATGTATTCAAGTTAGGGTGGTTAGTCACTCTTACCAACCTCCTGGTCTTACAGAATGATCAAGAAAGTACCTGTTCATCTATGATAGAGCCAGAACTGTGACTGTTTTAAAGCTAAGACAACACAACACATGTCTCCCTTGCCAGTCAAGGTGGCAGTGGAGGCCCTGGGTGGTTCAGACCTCCCCAAAGGCGGGAATCTTCACTATGTTCTCTTCCCTCCAGTGAGCTTCCTTCTCTTTCCTTTATTCCCTTCTCTTTTCTGATTTCAGAGAGAAGCTGTTTGAGCAAGAAAACACAGGATATTTCCTGCCAGGAAATAGACATAATTTGGGGGGCTCAGCAAAAAATGAAATCATGGGGCCCTTCTTCAAACATTAGGAATTTCCGCTAGGGTGACGGATGCAGCAAACCACCATGGCACGTGTATACCTATGTAACAAACTTGCATGTTCTGCTCGTGTACCCCAGAACTTAAAGTATAATAATAAAAAAAAGAATTTCTGCTATAGCAGAGCCTTGAACCAAGTGTGGGGTCCTTCTACATGTGGGGCCCTGTGCTGCTACACAAGTTACATACTAAGAAAGCCAGCCTGCCTAGGTTCCTTGCCTACTCAGATTGCCAAATGGAGACAAAGTATCTCAGCTGGGTTGTCCAGGTGAAAAGCAGAATTTTTTTTTATGGTGATTCAAACACTGTTACCAGTTGGGAACCAAGTGGCATTTCACTTTTGGCAGGAAAATTTCTATTCCTAAAATCTCATGTTGGACTGATTGGTTTTCCCCTAGAATTCTTATTATACAAATAGTTAGGCTGGGTCTTTAAATGCCCCTTATTTTAATAGAGCAATTAATCAGACATGATGAAATTTCTGTATTAATCCTATATAATTTTTTTTTAAATTTAAGCATTTCTTAACTGAGATGGGCCTAAATATCACTAAAGCAAGAGGACATCTTTAAGGGAAAATACAATTGCAAAACAGCTTTATATTCTAGAGTGAAAGCCTTAGTTTTAGCCTATGGTATATTTTGTTCCCTTTTAAGACCACAATGGTAGTTTTTTCCAAAGAGAACTAATAAACATATTAAGCTACATGGTAATTTTTCTAACACCCACATTGGTTTCAGTCAGAAGAATTTTACTGGAACCTGGAGGTATCCCATTCTTCATAATAATAAAAAAGAAATATAGTATATAAAAGCTCCAAGTTACATTACTAAGCAACGACATTTCCGGGAGTGAATATACTTCCTGTATTCCGCAAGCTGCTTCAAGTACATATTCGATGGCCATCTGTGCTTTTCAACAAAACTGCGTTCTTCCACTGAAGTTTTAAGAAAAAGAATGTTAATTGAATATGTTTTATTGTGGATCAATGAAGATATCAGCTATTGATTTCCTCTTTAATAGATGAGATCCAAGCTCTGGGATACATCTCCTACCCTTCCTGCAAGTTTTCCAAAACAACTTTCTATCATTTTGGTTAAATTAGTATCAGGATTTAAGTTATTATGTGACTTACAATTATATACATCTTGTCCACTGCTTTGAGTAGTATTCAATTATTTTTCTTTTCTTTTTCAATAAAGCTTTTGTTTTTCCTGGATGTAATGGACTCGTTTTTTTTTTTTTTTTTCTATTTATAACAGTTTTCTTTGTAGCTAACTCAGTCTTCCAAAGTCCTTACAGTCCTCTCAGCTGTGTTTCCCACCCAGCTATAGTCATCAGATAAGCTCTTCTTTCTTGTGGTTACTGCTGCCCTGTCCTGCTTTCTGGACCTACTTCCTGCCTTGGGGTTGGATCCCCCCATTCCTGAACTCCAGATCCTCACTTTGTTTATTCTCTAGTGTTGGTGAAGCACAACTGTCAGAGGCGTTTGAACCAGAGCAACTGCATCTTGAATAGGGGCTGGGGACAATGAGGCTGAGACCTACTGGGCTGCATTTCCAGATGGTTAGGCATTCTAGGTTACAAAATGAGATAGGAGGTCGATGCAAGATAAGATTATAAAGATCTTGCTGGAGGCCAGACACAGTGACTCATGTCTGTATCCCAGCACTTTGGGAGAATGAGGCAGGTGGATCATTTGAGGTCAGGAGTTCGAGACCAGCCTGGCCAACATGGTGAATCCATCTCTACTAAAAATAAAAAATTAAAAAAAAATTAGCTGGGTGTGGTGGTATGCACCTGTAATCCCGGCTACTGAGGAGGATGAGGCAGGAGAATCTCCATCTCCATTCTCCATCTACTGTTTAACCTCATCTATTATAATTCAGATTATTAAGGTCTTGATCCAGGCTGCAGGACCATACCAACTAACTACTCAGGGAAATCAGTTCTAAGTTTCAATAGAAAGCAAAGGTGACATGAAGCTCCTCCTTCAGTAAATATTAAAAACCAGAGGGAAGTTATTACAGATGAGCTCTGGCAGCCAGCAAAGCAAAACAGAACAAACAAAACCCCATAACACATAACACATAATACTGAGCTAAATTAAACTGTGAGAAGAATGAATTCATAAATACCAAGGGTAACATATTCCTGTGCACTGCTGTTTGTGTTCATGAGTCCAGTATATAAAATCCTAATAGTTAATGACCTATTTAACTGGGTTCTGATGTATCTGTGTCTGTACCGACATGACCTCTTTTCTAGTTTCACTTTTTAAATTTCTAAACACCACTAAAAATAAAAAATTCTCAGTCAACAGAAAACAAGTTGTAGAATTCTAGTAATAACTTGAGAACTTTTCAAACTGAAGATGGGCAGTTCTATAAGGAAGTTGTAGATTGACTGTGACAAGAACCTTTCCCAACTTCAAGTGACCATGTGACATGGGCCAGATGAAAGGTACCAGAGAGAAGTAACTGCAACCCTCTGGAGAGGACATGCTCCTTTTAGTGGGCTGCCACTGCCAAGCCACATGTTGCCATGTAGAAAGACAGGCTTGGGGCAGCCAGATCTTCCAGTTTTTCAAAAGAAGTCAGAAACATGGCCTTTTCAGATACCAGTACTATGTATTTTAAAACATACTGTGGGGTCCAAATAAAACCCCTTGGCAGGCTACACCTAAACCACAGATGGCCAGTTAGTAACTATTGATTTAGACAAGTAAATTCTCCCTTATCCAAAAGGCGTTTTTTTCCTCTGACCAAGAAGACGACACCTCATAGCAGGCTCCTGGACTCCGAAGAGGCACTGCAGAATGAGAGCTCTCATGATTCCCTTTTAAATTCCCATCAAAGGAACAGAAGATAACACTGACACAGCCTCAGCTCCTCAGCCTGCCACCTCCCATTGCACTGCAAGCCCTGCTTTGCACTCTGCCATGTGTCATAACATACGTAATAGGCAATTGGGTAAGTAGTGACATATGATAAAAATTAATAATGAAAAGGATTTATAGAGCATCTTTCTCCCAAGGTTGCAATAGCACTCCATGTATACCATATATCTATACAAGACAGTAAGTAGAAAATAACATTATTCTTCTTTTACAAATAAGAGTGATCTGAGGTAGCATGATGAAAGTGGCTCTAGGACCAAAGTGTAATTCATTTAACTTTTAGCTAGCTTCTTAAAGAATAACTATAGAAGCAGCTACTTAAAGACCAGTTATAGAAGAATGTTCCATCCAACTGACAGCAAGGAACATGACTCATCTTTATGAACCGACTTTGTTTTTTCCTTGCACAAAGTACATAGCTAATAAATAGCTGTTGCTTTGTTTTGATGTGATTATGCTTCTCTACTGTACTAACAGTTGACTTATGTAAGGAGGCTCCCAATAGACATATAATGTTTGTTGACTGGCTGAATGCATCTCCCAAAAACTGATTGTGTGTTCCTAGGTTTCCTTAACTGTACAACAAGTAGCTGAATAAAAAAAAAAGTTTTACTTTTTTTTCTTTTAGAGACAGGGGTCTTGTTATGTTGCCCAGGCTGGACTCGAACTCCTGGGTTCAAGTAGTCCTTTAGTCTCAGCCTCCCAAGTAGCTGAGATTGCACCAAGATGGGTACACCATCTCAACCAGATGATTTTTGTATCTTTTACCAGCAGAATCTCTTTTACAAAGTAAAATTTAGGTAGAACTCAAGATATAAAACAGAAACAATGGGGAACTATTCTGACTGAAGGAGGGAGGGAAGAGTCCAAGAGCTGTATATTTTAGCTTTCTCTTTCCCTTTCCCTTACTCCTTCTCTCTTCTCCTCACTCAGATTCCTTACTTTCTGCTCCCCCACCCTAGAAGACACTTCAGTTATCTCCATGGAGATTTATTTGTCCAGAGTGTGAAACTCCTTGACTAGGTAATCTTTTCCTTCCTTTTCTTTTTAGCTCAAATTTTCCTTGAGTCTATGCTAGATAGTAATATGAGCAAACCACTGCATCTAAACTGTCTATTCTGACAACTATTATATTTTCATTTTTTTCTTCTTATGTAGTACTCAGTAGTTCACTCTTTGGTTTTAATCTTTATAATTTACCTTAGAAAGCATATTATATATACTCTTAGTAGTAAGTTTCACAACATTCTTTTATATATAAAAAACTATTATTCCAAAGTAATATAATGGATTCCCATATGGATATACTTAGTAAATACAGATATCCAGTACAATAAAACTATCATATAGTTAACAACAGTTAAATTCCTTTATAAAAAATTTTTAAATCTCTACTGTTTAAACTTTGCTACTGACTTAGGTAGTTAAAACTAAGATACCATTTATCACAACCAAATGCCACCTGAGGACATATTTTTGTCACCTTACCTATTTCAGGGAAAAGAATGCGTTTAAAAAAGGATGATAACTATAAAATGATCATTAGAAAACTTCTTGTGTAGCACAGGTTAAGCCTCTTGTGTAACAAAGGTGACTATAAATTGTGTCCTCAATTACCACGCTGAAAAATTTACAAGAAATTTATTACATTGACTATTCTTATTTTGCTAAAACTACTACTTCTACAACTCATGTTTCAAATCTAAGAACAAAGAACATAAAGTTTTCTTTTCAAAGCAGAAATTGGCACTTTACCTGAAAGATCCTGAAATTCAGGCTTTTGACTGAAGATGAGGTAGTTAGTAGCAATGAAATGAAGTAGCCAGGTGGAAAGGCAATCAGAGTGGTGAAACTGCAGGAAAAATGAAAAGTGAAACAATATTGCACATAATGGCCATCAGTATGATGATTAGATCAAAATCACGGCCTGGGAGCAATCACGGAGAGCCCATATCCATGTTTAATGTGCCTTTACCTGATGCAGCCTTCAGTCTACTGTGACAGCAGACAGGATGAGGGAGCACTATTAACAAATACTATTAAAAGTACATCATTCTCGGAAGAAGCCAAACCAACAGTAAATAACAATCCATGGCTGCTGGAGTGGCCAAACGTCTTCAAGCAATGCATGGCTGCATCTACTTGAGGTTCTTGAAGATTTAATTTAAGCTTTTAATCTAAGGCTATGGACTTCACTAACTGCACCCGTATCTGTGTAGCAGCTGATGGTGAGCAATGTTAAAACAAGTTCACCTGAGGAGCAAGACAAACAGAAAGGGTTTGAACAAGAGTGGAGATAAGTAATCTCCACCTCAATTCTTGTATTTTAAGAGTTCTCCTTGATGGAAACCTGAAGGTAAATCATGGTAGAGAATTGAGAGAAGTTAAGGGAAAATGGACAGAGAAGTGAGAGAATACCCACACAGCTCATCTATTTATGAAAGTATGAGTGATGTTTCCTGACACACAGTACAAAACTGGCAGAGTGATCAGAAATTTTGATTATCTAGAGAGCTACTGGGAGTCTAATACTGCTAAAAGGCAATTTCACTCCTAAAAGTCAGAGAAATGGCAGGGAAAAGTCAAAGAAATGGCAAGGGAAAAGTTGGCAAATTCTGACCAACAGGATGAACTGACTGGTGACACGAAACCTCAAATTAGGAACTTCAAAGAAAACTTGGGAAGAAAATGTCTGTTATCTGGAATTCCTATTTGCCAAATTAGAAACCACCAGCAAAAGAATAAAGAAAAACTGGTAAATTTAAGCTTAATCTTAGAAAATAAAAAGTCTTCAGAAACAAAATTCAATATGAGCTGGTATCTTAGATTGTTTTAAATTCAAGGGGAAAAGATGAGGATAATCAGAGAGTCAGAAACCACAGAATCAGGGAAAACAAGTCAGGAATTTCTGACAGTGCAATCGAAAATGATTCTGATGAGGAACCACATGTAGGGGGCAGTGAGAGGAGGCACCTAAAGAAATCAATGGGACCACATGGGAAGTTCTCTTATACACAAATGAGTTAAGAGGATACTAAAAGATAAGAAAAAATAAACGTGTTCAACTTTTTAAAATGTATGAACAACTTGTTAGAATAGTATGAAAATGATACATAAGAATGAACTGAGATTGTGAAATTACTAAAAAGAATTTTTAAAACTGTAAACTAAATTTGGAGGTAAGCTATTTATTATGAGCTGAATGTAAATATACTACAAAGAGAGATCAAGATTTCTCAATTTTTAAATTTGTTTTTATCCCTAATATTAAATACATGTGATAGTAAGACTTGATTATGAGAGAAGTGAAGTCCAAAATATTTAAGGAGATAGAGGGGAAAACCTAGATGCTTTAAATAAATTTCCTTCTATAAACAGAGGTGTTGATTAATGAATTTGTCTCAGCTTGGAGGCAAGCTTTCAGCTGCCACAGATCTGGCCTTTGCCCCATCATGTGGCTCCATTTTAGCAATGTGGACAGAGACAAAAGTTGTCTTGTTTTCGTAACCCTGGATGTTGACTTTGGTAGGTATAGACATGCTGGATGCCAGATAATATTTCAAGAAGTACTGACACTCTGTAGTGATTGACGAAATATATTCCTATGAAAAAGAGCTAGAGGGCTCAGCTTACCACAGGTGAGTACACAACCGTGTGCCATAACTACAAGTCCTGAAACTGTCTTGGGCAGTGGATGGAATGGCAGGATGGCCAACAGTAGGACGGGCCATCTGAATAAGCTTTCTGTTTCCAGGGATGAAAGAAGGCAGGAATGAGGATTTGGCAGGTTTTTGACTGGGAGCACATCTAGGGGTTGGGAAGTTGATTTCAACAAAGCAGTCCTAGTTTATTTACAGACCTGGCTCCAATTCATAATTTAGGGCCTCTGTAACTGCAGTTACTGAAAATTAACTGAATTATGTAACCCCCTCTGTTCTCTAAAATCAGTAGCAATATAATTATTGAAAATAAAAGAAACTGAGTTTACAAGAGGCCCAGAAGCAGTATGTATATATATGGCAGTGATTCCTAATACAGCAAGACATGAAAACAAAAGGCATTCTGCAAGAATAAATGAGGTACACCAACATCTCCTACATCCAATTGAAACTTCAAAACTTCATGTTCATTATATGAATGAAAAAAATGAAGAAGTAAATGGGTTTAGCTTAACCATCACTATCAGCATATATGGACCAGTTCTGTCATTTTCCTTTTAGGAACCTGAAGATGCGATTGTTTGGGGAAATTCAATATAAATTCTATTTCCTACAATGCCTGTGTGACACAGTATAGCACCACATTCAAATGACTATGCTAAGGGCCACTATTTAGTTGAAAAAGTCCATATCGGGACATTTTTCCTCCTTATAAAGGGACTGTACACAAACCGTAATGCTTCAAAATTATCTACACAGATAAACTGTTGTGGAGGACTTTAGCCTCATTAAGCAAACTTGCAAACTAAGGCTAGTATTAACGTATGTTTAAAAAGGAGAAATTTTAAAATAGTATAATTTAAAAAGTATTTTATAAAAAATCAGGCTATCAGGCACACAGAGTCAATCACCTTGGCCTTTTTGAGCAGGTCAACTATGTCAAGGTTCATGGATGCCAATTCCCTGCTTGGCATGCTTTGCAGCTGGGTAATGATGAAGAGCTCACAGATGTGCTGCAGTCTGGACACTTGGTACATCTCGGCACAGATCAGGAGACACATGGCCTGGAAGATGCCAGCTGATGAGAAAAGGGAAATAAGAGAAAGTGGATGATAAACCCATTTCTTTAATGACCTAAACACATACATGCACACACAACAAAAAACAACCAAAAAAGCATGCTGACCATACCATCCATCATAGAACAGAATGCTCAGGAAAAGCCTCAAGGGAGTCAGCATTCTGCACCATTACTCCATTTTATCTTTTCTTTTCTTTCCTTCCCTCCCTCCCCACCCCCCCTCCCCTTTCTTTCTTTCTGTAGAGACAGGGTCTCACTATGTTGCCTAGGCTGGTCTTGAACTCCTGAGCTCAAATGATCCTGCCACCTTGGCCTCCCAAACTGCTGGAATTACAGATGGGAGCCACAGCACCCACGCTATTATTCCATTTTTAAAAAATCCATTTAAACCTTCATACTCAGAAGTGAATCTATTCTTTTAAAAATTATTCTTCAGAAAAGGTGATTCTATAATTGCCCTTAAAAATTAATTCCAGGATTATCTGGTAAATCTTTCTGTTAGCAAAACTAGATCCCTGCCATTTTTTTTTCTTGGTTTAGTCTTTAGGTTGGTTGATTTGTTGTTTTGTTTTTATTGTGATAAACTCACATGAAATTTAGCATTTTACCCATTTTTCAGTATATGATTCACTGGCATGAAGTACATCACAGTGCTGTGCAATCATCACCACCACCATGTGCAGAACATATTTCTTCTTCCCAGACTGAAACTCTATATCCATGAAACACTAACTCCCTGTTTCCCCCTTTCCCCAGCCCCTGGTAACCACCCAGTTTGGCTGGGGTGGGGGGGGTTCAATTACTTCCTAGAAATCTGGTTTTCATGTAATTCTCATTCTTATCCCTCCTTACATTCTTACATTTCTTACATTCTTTTGTAGCTATTGAACCAAGAACACTATGTATGGTGAATATTTAACATAACATTACCTGTCTTCTGTGATCTTCCCATTGCATAGATTCCAGTATCTGGCTTAACTTTTTAATTATTCATGTTTACTCATTTTTCCCTAACACACTTTTGCCAATTTTTAAAAATCCTATCATTCTTACTGCTTTCCTCCATAATTTCTTCTAATTAGCAAGGTAAAACTTAATATTAGCAACTTTAATTAGTTGAGTGAGAGGATGATTGAAAATCAAATTTTCCTGTTATTCCCAATCTGGTGAATTTTTAAATTTAATATACAAATTTGCCAACAGTGAAATAATAAATAATAAGTTTTATTTCCAAAAAGAACCAATGGTTTCATTTTTATTAGGCAAAAATAATAAGGCTCTTTTTGAGACGGAGTCTCACTGTCACTCAGACTGGAGTGCAGAGGCACCATTTTGGCTCACTGCAATCTCTGCCTCCCAGGTTCAGGCGATTCTCCTGCCTCAGCCTCCTGAGTAGCTGGGATTACAGGCACACACCGCTACACCCAGCTAATGTTTGTATTTTTGTAGAGACGGGGTTCCACCATGTTGGTCAGGCTGTTCTTGAACTCCTGACCTCAGGCGATCTGCCCGCCTCGGTCTTCCAAAGTGCTGGGATTACAAGCGTGAGCCACTGTACCTGGCCAAAGGTCAGTCTTTAACACTGACAGTAACAACAGCAACTGGCTCCAAAATACTCTACACCAGGCTGCAAAACCAGAATTAATTTAACCAAAACAAATCAATTTGCTTCTTTTTGAACTTCTAAAATCTTTCACTAGAGGGCTCATGACTTGTTTAAAGCTTATTTCAATATCAAATGTAAGAAGTCTTTGTAATCTAAAAACTAAAGCAGTGAATCTGAAGAGCGGTCTGGCCTGAAATGTGTGTTTGCTTTTTACGTTTACTAGGGTGCCTGACCGAGTTCACTAATCAAGGTCTCAGCCTCCTGAATTGAGCTTCACGGAGCCGAATCTAGTTGTGCTTGTGGTGGGAGCCATCTGGTGGCCAAAGGCTGAAGACTATTCACAGAGGGCTTCCCTGGAGCACCCCAAGGCTCCAGGCCTGTTGAAAAAATGTTGCTATTTCTTCAAACGCCTCAAGCTAGAAGAACCCTGCAAGATCTGTTTCCACCTAGAGCTGCCACAGATGTTTGGTTCTTGGTCAAAGATAGTCTTTGGTCAGTGAATTTGGAAACAAATCCTACAGTCCACTGGGCATCCTAAACATCTCAAGAAAAGTTTTCAGAGAAGTCAGTTTAAGGGGTTTCTGACTTTGGCAGAAGTCAAAAGGAGGCTTTCACAAATCCCACATACTCTGGGCCAGAAAGAAGACCAAAAAGTCTCAGAATATTGAAAGTCCTTAAAAGTGCCCCAATCAGAAGTCACAGGCATCAAAGCAGCTGCGCAACTCTCCTCTTTTCGTGGAAAAGACAGCACTCCAAGTAATAATCTGCCTCAATCTCTAGAATTAGAGTGGCTGTGGGTATCACAAGACAACTCCATTTCCAGTACCTACAGTGATCCCCATGCTGTAGGTACTGACTGGGACATGTGAACTTGTGCTGGCATCAGAGACCCATAAAAGGCACCCAATCACTGCACTTCCACTTGAATTGAATGAAAATTCATTGTTCTTCCAGCAACGCCTCCAACTGCTTAGTTATTCCATGATGTCAACTAATAACTCTTTTTTTTTCTTTTGAGACCGAGTTTCACTCTTCTTGTCCAGGCTGGAGTGAAATGGCACCATCTCGGCTCACCACAACCTCCACCTCCTGGGTTCAAGCAATTCTCCTGCCTCAAACTCCCAAGTAGCTGGAATTACAGGCATGTGCCACCATGGCCGGCTAATTTTGTATTTTTAGTACAGACAGGAGTTTTTCCATGTTGGTCAGGCTGGTCTCGAACTCCCGATCTCAGGTGATCTGCCCACCTCGGCCTCCCTAAGTGCTGGGATTACAGGTGTGAGCCACCACACCCAGCCAACTAATAAATCTTAAATGAAAATAGATTTCACAGAATGCAATTTAACAAAATGGTCATGTGGGAAGTAGAAAAGTTCCTTTTTAAAGTTTCCTTTCTTGTTTAAGAATAAGCGTGCTAATAACTTTGTTAAGCCCTGTTTTATGTAGCTGTTAAACATGCCATGCTTACAGGCCCGTAGTACATTCTGTGTCCTACTACTTTAACCAAGGTATCTGTGCTGGATGTGCTCACAGGCATGTCCCCGCTCTCCATTGCTTTCACCTGTTTAGAAGAGTTTTAAGTTATTAGCCAATCGGGTTTTAGTTTAGATTGTGCAGTCTGGCTCCAATCAACAGAGATCAGACATAGCAGTAAAGATGACCCCAAATGCATAAGGGATAAGTCTGTCTGCTTTTCCTTTGTTCATTGTATTCTTGTGGCAAGATGGCTAGTGAGAGTACCCTTCCTGCTGTAGTACAGGAAGTAAAAATTGTATTGCTGAAAGATCCTTTGTCTTAGTGCTGATTTTTCTTTGCAGCACTGAGCATCTATTTCCAAAAGGTGGCAAGGAAAGAAGGAATGATGAGATACTATCAACATTTGTATTGCTAACCTGGGCAGCAGGAGTCTGTGTACAGGTATTCTAAAAACGACAAGAAAGTCTCTTTGGAAACACCATAAACAGGAATCAGGACACTCTTCGATTCCATGTAGTTACCATTAAACATGGCTGCCATCACTTCACAACGGGCCACCAGGATGGCCCTGTGGGCTGGCACTGTTGCACCTGAAAGGTTCAAAAGGAAAACAAGCACAAGTAAGATAAACCAGCAAGGTTACTCCAGCAATTTTTCTTCTAATTATACTATTACATCTACGACATTAGGCACAGATAGGCTGATATGCAGAATCTAAATTTGGGAGTAATAGCTACCATTAATTCAGAAACTTCTTAATTTTCAAGGGAGCAATAAAGAAAGTTTAGATGTTGACTTTGAAACCAACAATTTGCAAGTCAGACAACTATTTGTTACTTAGCTTGTATTTCCAGAAATAGAAACACTGAAATGAAATATTTTGCTTCATATTTTTATAATGCAACATCAATCCACTCCAATTGGCTTGAAATATTAATAACACCACCCCTGCCCATGTACCTCTCAAGAAAACAACCCCATTACCCTTCTGGGCCAGACTCACTGAACAGTCTGGGCCATGCTTCCTCTTATCTGAAAGAGGAACCTGTAAGAAATAACCCATAAGCAGTCCACACATCACAGTAGTAATGGCAAATCTCTCGTGGAGCCAAGGAGAGCATTTCAGACTTGAAGAAAATCTGGAAGAGGATGACCTTCATCCATGAAGTCTCGCTAGCACACTGCCTCCCCAGGCAGCCATTCTTTCTCACAGGAACAATGCCTGCTGCTAGGAGAGGCAGTGCTACTTGGAATTTTGAGGGCCCCTCAGCCTATAGTGCTCACTGAAACTCAGTGAACTGAACTGTCTCTAGGAAAAGCTTGCTAGGCTCTCTAGCTACTGCTGCACCACACAAAGGCACCGCCGGATGGAGCTACGGGTAGCCAGGGCTCTCCCCACTTCCACCACCCTAGGAAACCATGAATACACGCTGCTAGCTTTCAGTTCAGCCTGGATCCGTTCAACAGATCATTACTGAGCATCAGCATGTCCCAGTCATTGCATTTGGAATTGAAGATACAAAGATGAGGAAGACAAAGCTACCTCTGCTTTGGAGCAGTTTTTAGTTTTGTTCAAGACACCACAATCAGTGTGAGTGACAAAGCTGCTGAATTCCAGAAAGTAACTCTCCAACCAAACCAAACTCAGCTCTGCCCAAGAGTCTACCTACGTATCTCTAAAATCTCATACTTACTGGGAATATATATTCTTCTCTAAAACATTTACAATTATTGGGTTCTTCAACCCAAAAATCCAAGCAAAACAAATCCTGACTCAGGAAAGAAGAAAAGAGTTACATCTAAGCCCAGTGGCTTCCTTCAAAGGCAATAATCATTCAGGATCTACAAGCCACACTTGGCACTGCCAGCTCTGAGCATACTGCTTGGCACTGTGATTTGAACAGCCGCATCTACCAGAGGAGCAGGAAAGTAACTTCAGAAGCTCTTCCACTCCGTCAACTCACCTCCCAGCAGGCACACTCCCCTCCTGGCCTCACTGTGACAGTGTGCCTTCACCGGGAAGGACCAGTTTCCATAATTAAAGCATGCTGGCTTTATTTGCATGCAGCAATTAATAAAGAATACAAACAGGTAATCCCATTTGACTTGTAAGGTTCTAAAATGTTAAAGATAAAGAGGGTGCTATATATATCTTTTTTTACAAAATTAAAGGCATGATTTAAACTGGATGATCTATAACTTGGCTTAAGCACAGGGATTTAAGATCTACCAAAAAATACCAAGTAGATAGTTGATGGGGATAGAATTTGATAAGTAACCTTGAAATTTTCACAGGAATTTTTCTGTTGATAATGTGGTTATAACAGTGTTGCAAAACCAGCACAAAAATGCTCAGTACAGTTAGCTGTACTTGGTGAAAATCTGGAAGAGGATAGGTTCCATCCATGGCTCCACATCCACAGACTGAACCAATGGAGAACGGAAAATATTCAGAAAAAAAACACTGCAACTGTATTGAACATATATAAACTTTTTAAAAAATTGTCATTATTCCCTAAACAATACAGTATAACAACTATTTACATAGCATTTGCATTGTATTAGGTATTATAAATAATCTAGAGATTATTTTAAGTACGCAGGAGGATATGTGTATAGGTTACATGTAAATACTAAGCCATTTCATTATCAGGAATTTGAGTGTAGCAGATCTGGGTATCTGCAGAAGTCCTTGAAACCATTCCCCCATGGACACTAAGGAACAACTGTACTATTTTTTTTGACACAGAGTCTTGCTTTGTCGTCCAGGCTGTAGTACAGTACCACAATCTTGTTCACCACAACCTCCACCTCCCGGGTTCAAATGATTCTCATGCTTCAGCCTCCCAAGTAGCTCAGATTACAGGCATGTGCTACCATGCCTGGCTAATTATTTTGTATTTTTATTAGAGACAGGGTTTTGCTGTGTTGGCCAGGCTGGTCTTGAACTCCTGGTAATCCACCTGCCTCAGCCTCCCTAAGTGCTTACATTACAGGCATGAGCCACTGCACCCAGCGAGAACTGCACCTTAAAACATTTTTAAGCCTATTTCAAGCTGGGAATTTAGTTTGAAAAACCATTACACTTCCTGCTAAGAAAACATCAACTTCAGTTTTTCACCTATTGTTTTGATGTTATAAGTTGTTCTGTTGTGAAACTGTAATATAATACCTTAATATGGTTAGATCCTTTCAATACTGTATATAAAAATATGCTGAAGGAACATAATGTGGTTTACATACTAACTGGCAATACGATACAGGTAAAGAAATTAAGGAAACAGAAGATAGCATTTTCTAGCTAAAAGATAAACATGTTCCTTGAAACTGTCAAGGCCAAACTATCTTTTCTTGTAGTACTCATCTGATGTTAACAATTTTAAGAATTTTTTTCTAAGGAAAAGAACTACAAGAGTGAAACAAAAATGAAAATCCCAGGTTTTCTAGTCACTTTACATAAATTATCAAGAATCTTGGTTTGTACTGTTTACTAAAATAAAATACTACATTTGTCACACTTTCTTCATACTACTACTTTCCAAGTTCTAAAACTGACATTTTCAGAACTGTTTTCGGTTTCATTCCTAAAAAAGGATACCTATCTAGCTCAAGAGAGATCCACACTATGTACTAGCTAAGCTAACAGGGAAATAATGTAATTTTGTAAAGAACTCTTCATGTGACACAGACTCAGGTGTCAAAAGGACACCTTTAAACACCTAAATATTTACTAAGACTGATTTTAGAACTGCTATAGTAACTTTTTTTTTTTACATGCCAAAACAACGAATTGGGAGTGGTAGGGAAAATATGTATATTTGATGCTCACTTATTACAGGGACGGTATTCCATTTTCTATCCTATGCTAATTCCAGCCTGTGCTATCCTATCCTAATTTTGGTGATGGCCTGGGACACTTCAAAAGAAGGACTGGCTGCAGAACGTGGGTTCCGCAGGAAAAAGTACAGCTAATTCACCAGTACTTGCTGCCATGGCAGGAGAAGGGGAGTGGAGTCTGCAGGTGAAGCCTCTGCTAGCCCTTGGTATGCACTAGCTCAACCCCTGTGACCACGCCACAAGGTAGAAATTAGTATCCCTATTTTATAGGCAAAGAAACAAAAGAACAAGAAATGTAAAGTAACATAGCCAAACCTACATAGTAAGTAAGCATCCAAGCAAAGATCTTACCCAGGTCTTTCTGACCCATGTCATTACCATCTCATCAAGATGAATCACTATATCAGCTCTGGTCTAAATTGTTCCATAGATTCCATTCTCATTTAGTTTTCCTTAAACCTCTCATGAGGTTAATATCCACTCTCAAAACTGGAGTAAAGAAGCCAAAGAGTTATTACGTGTGACTTCAAATGTATTATTTTTAATTAGCTAGTACACATTTATCATTATTATTTATTAATTTATTATTGGTTACCAATAATTTACGTAGTACAATTTATTATTTATTTATTTAAAGTTTTATTTCTTGAGACAGAGTCCTGCTCTGTCTCCTCCAGCTGGAGTGCAGTGATGTGATCTTAGCTCACTGCTTCCTCTGCTTCCCAGGTTCAGGCAATTCTCATGCATCAGCCTTCTGAGTATCTGGGATTATAGGCATTTGCCACCTTGCCCAGATGATATTTGTATTTTTAGTAGAGATGGGGTTTCACCATGTTGGCTAGGCTGGTCTAGCGATGGGGTTTCACCACGTTGGCCAGGCTGGTCAATCTCAGGAGATCCGCCCACCTCAGCCTCCAAAAGTGCTGGAATTATAGGCATGATCCACCATGCCCAGCCAAACATTACATTTAAATGGATAATCATCTAATTTTAAAATTATTATTCCAATTACTTCACATAAATTTGTATTGAAAATATGAGATTTACATTCCAATGTGAATTATTTCATAACCATGAATTTTTTGAAGTGTATTTGATATATTTTAAGTAAAGTGTATATCAAAAAAAATTGTAAATTTATCTGAAGACTTCACTATAACTTAAAAAAAAAGGTTTATAATTAAGATTTGAGACCAGTTACCCAATCTTTACTTTGAGGGTCTATCTTAAATACGACATAAATTTAAAATATAAAAATACTTTCCTTCCCAAATTTTGGTGTAAAACATTTAAATCACACATCAATGACAAAGTTAGAAGTACTTGCACATTTCAAACTGCTATTCCCACTTACATCCCCAAAAATTAGACATTCATTTTTCAGAGTGACATTAAAATGTGGCTGTCTGTTAATAATGTAACTACAATTCAAAACCATAGATCCTACAGGCTGTCACACTGAGAGGCATTAACCTGATCTAAAAAGCAAATCTTCTTGCTTGGCACAGGTTGAGTACCCCTTATCTGAAATACTTAGGACCAGAAATGTTTCAATGTTTCCATTTTTTTTTTAGATTTTGGAATATTTGCTATATATTCTTAATAGTTTAGCATCTGTAATCCAAAAATCCAAAATTTGAAATGCTACAATGAGCATTTTCTTAGAGCAACATGTCAGCACTCAAAAAATCTTGGATGTTAGGGCATTTTGGATTTTGGGTTTTTAGATTAAGGGTACTTACAATTATTAATATTATATAATACCAGCATGCAGAAAATAAGATTGAAGAAAGAAAAGGGCGACAGAGCGAGACCCTGCCTGCCTCTAAATAAATCCAGAAATAGATACATACATACATACAACCTTTATATACTTTCAGATAATGACAAGAATGTAAAATAGGATACATGAGAGGATGCAATCTGACTTTAAATAGAGCAACAGTTATGATTGTGCCATTCTGAAATCAGAATGGCACTAATTTCAGAGTGAGATATTTACGATAAATCTTCAATGTAGCTGTTATTTCTAATAGGAAAATATAGGAGATACCTAAATTTTCACCTAAAGAAAAAAAAAGGATATAACCATATAATGACATTACAAATGCTAATAAGGTGTTTTATTTATTTATTTATTTTTTGAGATGGAGTCTCACTCTGATGCCCAGGCTTGAGTGCAGTGGCACAATCTCGGCTCACTGCAACCTCCGCCTCCCAGGTTCAAGTGATTCTCCTTCCGTATCCTCTTGAGTAGCTGGGACTACAGTTGTGCACCACCATGGCTGGCTAATTTTTTGTATGTTTAGTAGAGACAAGGTTTCACTGTGTTAGCCAGGATAATCTCGATCTCCTGACCTTGTGATCTGCCTAACTTGGCCTCCCAAAATGCTGGGATTAAAGGTGTGAGCCACTGCGCCCGACAACAAGGGGTTTTTGATCCAGTGTAAAATGCTTTTGACATAAGTTTAAAAATAAAACACACAATTGGGTAGACAGTATCTATTTTCATAGTCCGCTTTTCTAAGCAGAGGAAAACTGACTTGAGGGAATTATGCTAAAATAAAACTGAGATTGTTATTGCGGCACAGTATGATGGGTGATTTTTATTTTTTTATTTTTTGTATCTTTATATCTGACTGTCCTACAATGAGCATTTATAACATTTTTCTAATCACCATGCCTATTTCATTTCCTGAAGATGACCTCTGTTTACAATATGGAATATATCCTTTCTGACCCTTTTAATTCACATATGAACAAAACAGACATTTTCTACAAATGTGATCATTCTGTGCACGCTTGTCTACAACAATCATATATGACTTTCATAATCAGAAAAAGATAAAATTTATTCATGAAATTCAACTATTTCCTATCCAAGGAGATGAAGTAGATTGGTGATTCGCTGAGTCATCTGCTTCTTTCCTCACTCAGAATGCCTCTGGTTTTTCTACTTCTCCCTATACATTTTGGAAGAATTCCCAAAGTACATCAGAGAAATGGCCCTAGTAAGCTGAGCCTGCTGCCAGAGTGACCACAGTGAGGCGAATTTAAACATGCTCCATTCCATTCAATGGGCTGGTGGTCACATATTTTGACCATGAAAGGAGCAAGAATTCACTCAACTTTTAGCTCCAAATTTCTCCTTGGTTTTCTCACTGCAACCCTGCAAGCAGTGCATGGAGAATCAAAGGGGAATGGCTACACTAAAAAGAACCTTTTAGAATCTATGTGGTTCATCACCCTCTTCTCTTCACAAACAAGACTCAAAGACAAGAAATGTCAGGTGACTTGCCCATGGTCACACTGGTCAGGACGCAAAGCCAAAGCCGGAATTGGGGCCTATCCAGAGAAAACGACACTGCTGCTGCCTTCTGCAGCTCCCCTCCCCAACTTACAGGAGCTGGTGTGCCTCGCCTACCGCTGACTTTAGAGAAGCTGCTGCCAGATCCTGCCTCCACCATTCCTGCTGTTCCCAGCTTCCGACTCCTAGGGAGACTAGATTTTAGAGGTAGGGAGGCAATAAAGAGCACCATAGCAGTTGCTGCACCTCATCAGCACAGGCATGCAGCCAGCCCTTCCTGACCCCAGCCCCTGCCTAAAGGGCAGGAGGGGAAGAAGGACAAAGTGATTACCTACCTGTAGCAGGTACAATCACAAAAGAAAAGCAAGAGATTAGGAGGAGCAAGGATTTTCCACATCACTGCTTTTCTCTCTCTATGATAAATGTTTTCATGTGTTGCATATTCCCTTTGAAAATCTTTTCAGTGAGTTACGCTAACATAATGTTTGATGCCAATGTGTCCTATGCTAATTATAAGCAAATTTGGTAGCTCTTTCATAACAAAGCAAGAGAGAAATGGTGGGGATGGGAGACAACCCGTAATTCATTAACGTATCATGGGGCCAGGCATTCATATTCAATTTACTTGAAAAATATTGCGTTCAAACTATGCTGCAAAATGAACATCCCTGGCAAAGAGATGAATTCTCTTTCCTTTTACAAGTTTATTACAATGCAAAGTCTTCTTCAAGCACATTTATGCTTCCGTGGTTGATTCCCAAGTTCAGAATCATTAATCTTACTATCAATAGCCATTTATTAAAGGCCAGTCACAGTTCTAGGGACTGTAGGAGACACAGCAATGTAACAACATTGAGCCTGTATTTGTGGAAATTTTGAGTTTCTTCCTGCGACCAGGAATTATGGCTTCCTTCTCACAGCTAGACTTCTAAAGCACACACACACAAAGAATGAGATTAGTCATTTAGAGAATAACCTAAAATTCCAGAGTCTTAGGGGATGATTGAGGGGTTTGGGAACATCCAAAACTCCAATCAAGGGGACCTAGGCTAAAAAAAAAAAAACAGAGGACTAAAACATACTCATGACTTAGGAAGTAAATACCTAATCGAATACACTGTATCTGATTTGTATCAAATACTATACAAATGGTAATAGATTGGTCAGTTTTGGCCACAGAACCAGTAGCTAGAACATGCATAGAACATCCAGGAAGATCAGAGATGCTTGGTCTGATTAAGACTAACACTATGTTAGGACAGAAGACATCTACCAGAATGCACCACGGTTTGAATCAAACACCACTAGACACTACTCTCATATGTTCATTCACCATATAACCTTCAGATTGCTAATTCTTTTTCTGGTTACGAAAAGCAGTGCCCTAGGTTGTTACATGCTCACTGGAATGGTTTGCCCCCACCTTATCTCCATCTGGTGGAGTCAGCTCAGTATGAGTCCAATCAACCCTAAATCACGGGTGCCCCCTGGGAAGACATTTGGAAGACAGCATTCAGCCACCTCCAGGGGCATCTTTCTCCTTTCAGAACACAGAAACTGACTCCATCTCCGTAAAGCAGACTTGTCTAAACATTCATTTTAGAAAGGTGGAAATACTTTTAAATTTACCAATCATATTTATTCTTAACAATAGATGTAGTCTTTTCTGTTGAAATGAGAAGCTTCTTAGATGATTTGTTACCAAATTATCTATTCCTATGTTTCTCTGGTATGGATAGAGCATACCAAGCACTTTTAATAAATGTCTTTATCAACAGAGATTTTTCTCCTAGAAGCTAATGAGAGAATTCTGTAATCACCAGGAGCTTCATCCCTGACTAGGCATGCCCTATCTATAGTGAATAATGTATGAAAGCTGTCTTTAGATATACACTTTGGATCTGTATTTAGGCAACAAATAAATCAAGGTGTGATCATATGAAGGGCTTAGAGCCCGTTTTAGGTCTGTCTAAAATTTCGAAAGCATGCTATAAAGTCTGTGGCCTCTTGTGAGCTTTTCCCAGTCACTCTTCTGTATCCCAAGGTCACTTTCGCTGCCCTACTTTCAGCATCCCAGGCTCACACTGCACATGGGGCTGGCAGTGGCTCGTTGGAAGGTACACTGGAAAGTTTCCAATTCCCTGTCTTGGCATATGACCAAAGTTAAAAGTACTGTGCATCTTTCTGAGGAAATATTTTTAAGAGTAAATGCTTACTGTTAGCTGCTACACAATTCTACCATAAAATTAGATTATGTCTTCCTTTTAGTAATTGCCCATCTAAAGTTCTACTTAGATTTTCATTGGAAAACAGCTCCTTCCATCTTTCTTCCATAACTGAAGGTATCTGACAATTCATTCTTTTTTTTAACTTTAAATAAATTTGTATTATGTAAAGGCTGTCCCATAATTGGGTATTCCTTTACTTTGTATAGTTATTTTTACTCTCCACAGAAAAGCCTCTCCTTAACTTCTCACCTGCTGTTAGCAAGCACTAAAATCCTGATTTTAACAGCATGGTAGTAAAAACGCCTCAGTGATTTAAGCTGAAAGCAGTACATTGGGACGTGGCTCTTTCACCCAGTATCAAATGTCTTTTTAATCAAAAATACAAAACAAATTATTAGTAGGCATAGACAATGACAGTAAATTGCTATTTATTGTCAGTTGAAACCAGCAACTGATAGTTACAGTAATTTTTTCAAAACATCACCCAGCCTTTTCTTCATTTTCTTCAAATGACTTCTCTGTAGTTAATGGTGAGAAATACTGCCTTGAGCTCTCTATCACAGTTCATTAATAAAGGTAAAGCCCTATTCTAGGAATCAGGAATGCCAACTCCCATTCCACCCACTGCACCCATTCCAGGGTCCTTCTCTTCTTTAGGAATTTCTGTGACTACAACTTCCGCTGTAATTAACAGAGAAGCCACCCAGCAATGTCTAATGAAGGAGTTCTCGCATCCTTCATTGGGTCAGTGATTCCTTTCCACCATATTCACAAAATCCCCAACCATAGCTCCATAACCAACTTCTGAGGAACACTGTGTAATTGTCTCAAGTACCACAGATCCTTCAACACCTGCATTCCTAGCAGCGGTCATTGTCAGAATGTTGAGTATTCTTTTAATAATTTCTATACCAATTTTTGATTTTCATTAGTTGGAATTAATGAGTCCAAGATTGGAATGTACTGAAGCAAGGCACAACCCCGTCCCAGAATGATGTCTTCTTCAAAGCAGCTCTTACAGCATTAAGAGTAACTCTGTCTTTCTTTCCATTCATTGTGACATCAATTGTCACATCAACCTTCAGCACAGCTAGCTACTCCATTTGAAGGTTTTGCCATTCCTTCAGTTTTTCCTTTTCATATTCACTAGCTGTGATATCTAACTGCTCAATGATTTCTTGAATACAGTTTTCAATTCAAGACGCGTCACCATTTCCTTTGCAGAGCGTAACATCGCTTTTGGTCACAATGACCGCTCCAATTTTTCCTGTGTTATGAGGCTGAACACCTTCAGGATTTAGGGTCAACTCCACTTCTCCAAACACTGCACCACCAGCAGCAATAGCCATATCTTTACACTAGTTCTTTCTATTGTCAACAAACCTGGAACTTTCACGGCTACAACCTGAAGACCAACTTTGAGCATATTCATAGACCTTCTCCATCAACACCTTCAGCAATGATAGCCAAAGGCTTATAGTGAGTACTGGCAATTTCAAGAGCAGGTACAATAGACAGGGCACTAGACATTTCTGTTTTACTCAACAGAATATAGGCATCCTTGAATTCATGTTTCTGATCTTTCGATGTATTAATCAGTTAATTTAATACATCGAAAATTTAGCCTAATTATTTGACGTATTAATAAGGTATGCAAAAATTAGATATGGTGATTCTAATTCACGATTTAATGTTTTTCCATCCTTTTACTGTGATGACAGCCTTTCTTCCAACCTTTCTCATTGCTTGAGAAATGATATTGCCGATTTCTTTATCTCTATTTGCAGACATTGCAGCAACCTGAATAATTTCTTCAGGGGCTGTCACAGGGTTTAGACTGCTTCTTAAGTTCAGCAATTAGAGCATCAACAGCTAACATCACGTTTCCTGATTTTCACTGGATTAGCCCCTCTGCCAACCTTCTTGAAGCCTTTCCTGACCATAGGGCATGCCAGTACAGGAGCAGTGGTGGTGCCATCCCCAGCCTCTTCATTTGTGTTATTGGCAACATCTCGAACAAGCTTAGCTCCAGTATTTTTATATTTATCCTCTAAGCCAATTGACTCTGCGACAGTCACATCATCTTTTGTTATTCTGGGACGTACCCAGCTCCATTCAATAATCATAGTTCTTTCCTTTGGTGCCAATGTAGCAGCTATGGCATTGGCTAAAAGATCAACACCTTGAAGCATTAAGGCTCAGGCACCTGCACCAAATTTTACATCTTTGGCATAGGCCCAAGTGAGATGAGGACCCAGTATCCTGACACTGGTCTCATCTGCGTTAAGACTGTGGGTAATCCAAGTATTTCTGCCGGGCAGGGGCAGAGCTTGTGAAGTCAGGCAGGTCAGTGGCCAGTGAGGGACAGAGTGCAAGACGCACAAGGCAATGAGCCTGTGTCCCCTCCCTCCACCTCTCCCCCAGACTGGTGGCACCTGTAGGCTGGCAGCTCCCACCACATTCTTTAGATCTTAGTCTACTAAAGTGACAAAATTATCCAAGCGAGTAATCAATAATGGGCATTCAAACAGCTCATCTTCATTAAAATTAGGTAGCCTTACTTTCTTACAGAGATAAGAAGCAGCTCTCAGTTGCTTTGGTGATGAAATTCTCAGAGTGCTCTGAGTAATAAATGTAGCAATATCTGTGGGTGCCTGGGGTGTGCCAGGCATAACTCTCAATCCTTTTGCTCAAAAGAAATAGAAGACAGAGGAATAAAATAATGGCCAATTCCTTTTGCTCAAATAGAAAGGAAGAGAGCTGAATAAAATAAGCTAGAGGTAACATAATTTTAAGGGGGTTAGCTCCAGATGTAGCAAACACTAGGATCTTCTACACACAAAATATATAATAAAATATTACAGATCATCCCGTCTCTTGCTAGGCCCTAAAAGTGATGAAGCATATGGCAAAGGAAAAAATACAAAGGGAAATATAAATTTCTTTTCTCATTTTTATAAAATACTAAAAATACTTCCTATTTACCTGGAAGATTTTGTTGACATTAAGGTAATATTAATTTACATCCTGGAATAGGGAAAAATCATTCTTTCACACCAAACACTCAAACCTGAAGTAGAAAGCAAGGAAAGAAAATAAGAAATAAAAATGAATCATAAACTTTGTAAAAGTTGATCCATACCTTGAATTTCAAAGACAACGTCGGCAAGCATCGGCTTATTAAGGAAAAACTTGAGGGAAGTGTTATAAAACCACAGAGGTTTTCTGGCTTGATAGGTTTTGCAATTCCTTAGGCAATTAATCTATAGGGAAAACACAAATAAAGGAGAAAGGTTGTTTAATATGCTTTGATAACACATAGGCAAGGCTGAGAATTTGGAAAATTGTGCTAAATCTCTAAAGAAATATGATTCCCCAATCTGTGGCATCTCTGATCATAGGATTCAAGGGAACTTACCTTCAAGAAGTGTATGGGTTCAAAAAAAATGAAAATAAAAAAGGACTTTATGGGCTGCCTGTCAGTGAACAACAGTGCTCTCTTCAGCATTCGCAGGAGTAAATGAATTGCCTAAGTGAAAACTCAACTCCATGCAAGGTTCTGAAACCTTGTGAGTCTCTGTCGGGAAACAGACAAGAGTAGTCCAACCCCATACAAATGCCTACTAAAATATGTTTACACATGTAACCTAATGCGTTCATTAAGAAAGCACTTGATTTGTAATTAAGAAAAATACATTTTTCAGCCAGGCACAGTGGCTCATGCCTGTAGTCCCAGCACTTTGGAGGCCAAGGTAGGCAGATCACTTGAAGTCTGGAGTTTGAGACCAGCTTGGCCAACATAGCGAAACCTTGTTTCTACCGAAAATACAGAAATTAGCCAGGTGTGGTGGCATGCACTTGTAATCCCAGCTGCTTGGGCGACGGAGGCAGTAGAATCACTTGAACCTGGGAGGCAGGCTGTAGTGAGCTGAGATTGCGCCACTGCACTCCAGCCTGGTGACAGAGTGAGACCCTGTCTCTGAAAAAAAATACATTTTTCCCTTATCACACCATATTCTACTAGCTTAACACTTTCTCTTAAAGGAGTGGACATTTAAAAAATAACTGAGAGTAATGAATTGGTTCGCCTCCAACTTTTTTGAGATGGTGTCTCACTCTGTGGCCCAGGCTGGAGTGCAATGGCGCGATCTTGGCTCACTGCAACCTCTACCTCCCAGGCTCAAGCGATTCTCCTGCCTCAACTTCCCAAGAAGCGAGGCTACAGGTGTGCACTACCATGCCTGGTTAATTTTTTGTAGAGACAGGGTTTTGCCATGTCTCCCAGGCTGGTCTCAAACTCCTGACCTCAGGCAACTGCTCATCTCAGCCTCCCAAAATGCTAGGATTACAGGTTTGGTTCACCTCCTTACCCAGCTGTTTCACCTCCATCTTAATCTCCAATCTTATAGTCCTAATTGTCCTTCCTACTCACAGCAGAGTCCACCAGAACCTATAAAGAGTTTCCTGGGTTTCTGATTTGGCATTCCAGAGACGTTCTCCCTTGACACCTTGTCTGTCTTGTCGTGCCTGGCTGGAGCTGGCAGGTCCAAGAGCAGCCACTCTGTGTGACTCAGGCTTCAGTGCTCTATCCTTTCTGTGGTCTTCAGGCATCCCCTTTGTGCCAACCCTGGAAGTCAAGGGCCAGCCTCCCTTTCCATACCCCCCACCCATTTCTTTTCTTTCTTTCTTTTTTTTTTTTTGTTTAAGTTTACTCTCTCTATTTACAGTGGATAAACAAAACTGCATGAATTTTTTCAGGTAGTGTTACCCAAATGATAAAAAAAATAAGTCATTTTAAATACTAGGATTCACTAGGACTGCAATCTTGCCTAAAGTCTACATTGTTCTCTAATTTTGAATGATTTAGTTATGATTTTTATTGAAGTATCATATTTTATTCACTTTAAATTCTGAGTCTCCACCCATTCCCCCTGCTGAATCTCAGAACCCCAGACCTGGTCAGAACTCTAACCCTCTGCTCGGCTAGCTAGGGAACTCTAAAAGCTTTATCCCTAAGAAATAAACATACAACCTTAGCAGTAGTAAGAATAAATGACATCTACTTTTCACTCTAAATTAATCTACTATGGTGGGAAGTTTAAAATCTTTGATGAAGGGGAGAAAATGATACTATTCTTCCTCCTAAGGCAGAAGAAAACATTCCAGAATGGGACCCATGAGCAAAACAGAGGTAAAACAGGATCATACAAATCCTGGTCCTATAAAGTCATTCTCAGATCCTATACACAACATACCATCCTACACACAGAAGAAATTTGGTTATGGGAGTCAAGTGACTGCCATGCATACAGGAGAGTAACAGTCAAAAAGTGTCACCGAAATGGAGAGCCCAGAGAGGCTTCAGAAACCATCCAATTTATCCCTCATTTTATAGAAGCCTTAACTTACTCAAAGCCACAGAGATAACTGTGGTAGAGTCACAACTGTGATCTATATTTCCCTAGTCCATCAGGGTTACATCCCTGTGTGGTACTCAGTGAATGAGAGAGCACCTAACCCTGGGAAAGCTCAGGAAGAAGGGGTGAAAGAACTCTTCTTTCCCCCCATGCAGAGGAGGGAATTCAGTGCAGTATCATGGAATCATATCACCCTGCCTTCCTCTTTCCCGACAAGAATTCGTTTTATTCTCAGTATTCAAAGGAATGTGTTCAGAATCAGACTCAAGAAAAGGTTCAGGGTTAGAAGGAAAGGCAACATTTCTGTACTTGTCAGCCATATACAGGCTATGAATTTTTTATAGATGTATATTATAGAATATTTTATAGATGTATAATACACATGAATGTATGAGAGAGAACTGGAGAGTGAGAGAATCTATAATCAGATTCCCTCATCAATTTTGTCTTGAATATGAAAAAGATGGGAGGGCAGAAGTTTGGAGAGGAGACAAATGCATGTGAGATACATTTTCACTGGTCCATGAACAAGTTAATCAAGACAACTAGATTAACTGCTGAAAATGAGAACGTAGGCATATGTGCACATTTTTACAAAGGATTATTTAGTTGAATTAGATTGCAAGAGCTACTGTCCTGCCATAGACTTGTAAAACTGGACAGCTTCTGTATACCTGCTTCACTGTGTAACTAAAGAAAAAAACTTACCTCTTAATTCTACATTACTTTGTTTACAAAAAAAGACTATTTTTCAATAAAGAACAATCAAGAATCTTCACTAAAAGTTAGTACAGCTTTACATTTGTAAAATATTAACTTTAAAATGTTAATAATAGGTTTTAGAGGGTAGAGGAGTCATCTGTATTAAAAATTAAAGGAATAATCATTTTTCTCATAGTATATACCTATATTTCATTAAGCATTGCATATAACTTAACCTTATTTATCTACTGCAGTCAATTTGCATATCACAAAATCAGAAAAAAGAATACATTGGCTAAATTGTATGTCTTAAAATTTTTTAAATGTTTTTTTAAAACCCTACAGACTATACAATCCAAGTAACTAGAGTTCTAATGTGCGCCAGTCTATGGCAATATACAGTCTGTTTTTATAAACCTGAATATAATTTTGAACCTATAATTGATGAGATAATCCTTAACTGTTCACACTGTTGAATCGATTTTTCAGAACACTTGAAAAGGGACATGCAAAACTGCCTTCCTCTCAAAAATTACATGAGACTTAAGTCGTGAGGAGTTCAAAGGTACCCCCTCTAATAACTTTAACTGTACCTGGACAAATTAAGCAGCCTTTTATTCCTGCTATAGATGGTGTATTCCCAGAGCTCCAGGGGAATGTTTCAGAAGGCAGAATTCATAAACAAGTATTTTAAAGACATGACTCATACGTATTTTAATTTTTGCATAAGTTAAAATCTAAGATAGGGCCAAGTGTGATGGCTCATGCCTGTAATCCCAGCTCCCCAGAGGCTACAGCGGGCAGATCGCTTGAGCCCAGGAGTTTGAGACCACCCTGGGCAACGTGGAAAAACCCAGTCTCTACAAAAAGTATAAAAATTAGCCAGGTGTGTTGGTGCACATCTGTAGTCCTAGCTCCTCAGGAGGCTGAGGTGGGAGGTATCATTTGCACCCAGGAGGTGGAGGCTGCATTGAGCCAAGATCATGACATTGCACTCCCACCTGGGCAACACAGTGAGACCGTGTCACACAATCCCACCCCGCAACACACACAAAATCTAAAATGCAAATAACCCATGTTTATGTTTTAAATATTCAAATGGCAAAATATACTTAAGAACAACATTGGCCGGAAGCATGGCTCACGCCTGTAATCCCAGCACTTTGGGAAGCCAAGGCGGACGGATCACGAGGTCAGGAGTTCAAGACCTGACTGGCCAACATGGTGAAACCCTGTCTCTACTAAAAAAATACAAAAATTAGCTGGGCATGGTGGTGTCTGCCTGTAATCCCAGCTACTTGGGAGGCTGAGGTAGGAGAATTGCTTGAACTGGGACCCGGGAGGCGGAGGTTACAGTGACCTGAGATCATGCCACTGCACTCCAACCTGGGCTATAGAGTGAGACTCCATCTCAAAAAAGAAACATTTAGATTTATATAGTATTTGACTCTTCTAAACACTCAATTTTGTATTCATCATTGCATGTGAGTTATAATTCAGAGAGTCAAAGTAAATTAACAGAAAATTAATTTACCTTTCCTGGTGTTTTTAAAATGCATTTAACTTTCTCAATTACATTTGAAACATCCCCAGAATCTTTCAACTTCTTCCTGATATCTTCTTCCAATTCTTCCCACTGAAAAGCACCTGTAAACAAATTAGTACATGCTGAATTTTTTGTTTAATTCAGGAAGAAAAGTAAATCTCTTATTAAATATCAACACTCCCTATATAGTGCTTTCTTTTATTTTTTCTTTACCATGCATATAACCTTATAATTATACTAAAACATTTAAACAGCACTCGTATTTTAAAAAAAACCAGTTTAACTTCCTCTAAATTATTTCTTAAAATCTGAAGTCTTCCTTTCTGGACTGCTGCTACCTCTCTGTAATAGGTGGCCAGTTAGTGACAACAGCAGTGGTCTGAATATGAGTTACCATGACAAGTGGATCAGCACCCAAATTATTTACTTGCCCTGAGTAAGAAGGTAGATGTGGTCTTTCCCGAGGGTGAATGAAATCTTACTAGTCATGGACGGCAGTGACTATCATCCGGTAGAGGAACATGCAGCAGCAACAGCATGCATTCAGAAGGTCTCATGCATTGTCAGGGTCTGACTGGAATGTCTGAGAGCCAATTCTACAAAACCAGCCTAAGGAAGGGAGCTACATCGTTTCCTGATGCTCTAAATGATCATGTCATTGGAGCAAAATCACCCCGCCATCCCTTGCCTTTAGCCAGCCCACTTCAAAACCCTCTTCCTAGTCTCACTTAACTTCTCCCACTCTGTCAGCCCCTTTTCCTCTATGTCTTACAAAATTCTTATTCTACGGTCAGCAAAAGCTGACCTTTTCCTCAAGGACTTCTCTCACTTGGCCTACAGCAACCTCCTATCCAACCTCCCTGCTCCCTAAGGCCATTTTCCCATCAAATCTATCCTATTACTCTAAGCTGGTGAGTTTTCAAAAGCACGAGTCTGATCATGATATTCCAAGAGATTACCCTCATCCATCCTATGATTTAAAGAAGGTCCTAACTCATAAAAATATAATTCGAGAAGCCTACTTGGGCAGTACAGTTAGGAGACCTAGGATCCAGTTCTATCTCAGCTATTAACCGCTAGGTGACAAGTCACTTCACTTCTTTGTTCTATCTGCTCTCAGTCTATTTATTCCCATGTTTTCCTTCATGTATTCAGCACTCACCAGATGCCTCCACGGATACTGTGGAATGAGGCAGGCACATAAACACTTATTAAACCAATGAGATCAGGTGACTGCAGCCAGTCTGTATCAACTGGAACCAAATCCAATCGGAAGGGGCAGACTGCAAGTCCAGAAGCTCTCAGGCTCTTTACAGCTGAGCCCTGCAGCACTGAGCGCTCTTGTGCACCCTTTCACTGTCTCCCTACCTGGCCTTCCTAATACTTATAGTGTGCCCTGGGAGAGGGAATCAAATGATATGTAGCATTTGCCATTTTTGTGATGCTACCAACATGACATCACAGAACAAGGAAATGGGAATGATAAGCACACTACGCTCTCACAAGCTGGTGCCAGCTCTAGCACACCACTGCTTCTTTCTGCCTTTGCTAGCTCTCTTTATGCCTTCACTGATTGTTGCCTTCCTCCTCAAATTCCCAAAGCTGTGTAGTCTAGAAGAGCACTGTGATTTCTGTTTTTCTCTTTCTGCACAAATGCATTTTAACTTTGTGGCCACATCTTCTTTTTCCAATCTGATAAATTCTTTGGATTTTATCACCAGGAAATTTCATATGCACATACAAATGTTACAGTCAGTATAACAATATCACAGGGCATAAGAACCCCTTGGAAGCCAACGGATCCCAGATCAAGAAAAGTACTCTATCCCAGTGATTACCAACCATACCTGTGTATTATATATACCTGGGTGGGATCTTTTACAAAATACCACCAGAGGAGGTCTCATCTCCAGATCAAGTAAATTAGAATTTCTGGGGCTGAAGCCTCTGGCATCAGTGTTTTAAAATCCTCTCTGGTGACCCTAGTGTGCATTGTATGCTGCTGCCAACCACTACTTTCCCTTTAGAAATTTCAGCCATTGAGTTAGAGACCAGCCTGGCCAACAAGGGAAAATCCTGTGTCTAAAAAATACAAAAATTAGCTGGGCATAGTGGCATGCTCCTGTAATCCCAGCTACTTGGGAGGCTGAGGCAGGAGAATTGCTTGAACTCAGGAGGTAGAGATTTCCATGAGCCATGATCATGCCACTGCACTCCAGCCTGAGCGACAGAGTGAGGATCTGTCTCAAAAGAAAAAGAAAGAAGGGAAAGAAATTTCAGCCATTACCCAAACACACAGTTAGTGGTATGCAGGAAAGAGAAGATGTAGGTATTTTTTATTGTCTACACTCATACAGTCTAAAGAAGAACACAAATACTGTCTCTGTGTTCTTTAACATGCTTACATATGTGAAAGTTACATTAAGTTATTTAAGCAAAAGCATATTAACTAAAAACCATCCTTGAAATATCTCCATTCAGAAGATTATCTAAAAGCAAGCAAGCATCAAATAATCTAAATAGTTGGAATTAGTAGCAGGTAAATCCCCACAGGCCACTGAGCTGTCTGAGAACATTCACAGGAAGAACCAATCAGTGAAAATGAAAGTAAGACTAATTTTCAAGAGCACACTAATGATTGGGCTGTTTTCATAACTAGAAACATTAATCAAGTCATCTTTGACTCTTTGAGGCTTTTAGGTCCTAATAAACCAATACTCCTAAGGCTGGGACTTTCCTTTTATTTTTCCTATGGTAAAAACATGTAACATCAGATTTACCCTCTTAGCAAACTTTTAAGTGTATAATACAATATCATTAACAATATGCACAATGTCATATAGCAGGTGTCCAGAACTTACTCATCTTGCATAACTTTACTGATTGATTGACTACAGACAAGGGCAGGATGACATCTTGCATTACTGACTGGGGTTTTCTTTAGTTAACTTCTTAAAGCACTGAATTCACTTAGACTTTAGAGCTCATGGTATACTCATGTATACCAGCCTGTGTTTTTATGCAATACAGAAAAGAGCATGCCACGGAAAAATTCTAAGAACTGGAGAATGCTATGCAAACTGAAGACGAAAGCTTGTTTCCACATATTTATCTACTCGGATGGCATTTCAATAAGTGATGTGAAACTCCAAGGGCCATCTGTGGCAGGAAGAGCTCAAAGCTAAATTCTTAAGGTTCTTACAAATACTTCACTTCCTAACCATCTGAGATCATGTGACTCAGGAATGTGTAAGCATAAGACTGTATCAAGTATTATAAGAATGTTACAGTTGTATGTCATGTAAGAATTACTCCCTGAAGACCAGGAAAGGGCTGGCCCCACTTATCACATTACGCCTTGTTCCTTAGGATTAGTCATTAAGTACTCATACATTATGCAGTGTTTGTTATTATTCAATAGAAAACTAACATATACAAAACAGACATACCTTGACTGTTGAATCAAAAATTTGAATAGGAATATGTATGTGTAAAATGTTAACTGGACTGTTGTTAAACAGGTCCCTCCTAAATAAAGAACCAAATATTCATGGTGACACAATACACACCAAATTTCAAATGCCTAAAGGTTAAAAAAAACCATGTTATTTAAAAAGAATAAAGATATTCTTTGTAATTTGGTTATTTAAAAAAAAGATAAGGACAGGCGATAGGCTTATTGTACTTTTCTAGCCCATGTTTGCTCAGGGCAAATATTCCTGAGCCAATGATGGAGTTCAACCTCTGCATTACCAACCCGACTGATGAGAGCACAGACAAATGAGTCCTGTGCTCAACGTGTCTCTAGCATAACCCAAGGGCAGACCACAGCGCTTCTGTGGGAAACCACTGCCTAGCTGTGCCTTAACATATGTTCCATTCACAGGCTTAAAAATGTTAAGAAAAACTACAACAAAAAACAGCCCTGGCCCCTTTATTGAAGTCTCTGAGAAGAGTGTAGGTTTAAAATTTTTGTTTCATTTGATTACAAAATATATTTTTTCAAAAACAGTCACTTATTCATATACAAACAAATGACTAGAGGATAAAACAAAACAATAAATGTTTAGACATTTTCTGTCGACAGCAGAATCTGGGTAAATTTTTTTTCTCTTAATTTTCTGCATTTTTCAAAATTGTCTTTTCTGTGCAAACACAGCTTTGACATCTTTTTAACATAATGTAAATGACACTTTTCCTTGAGCCAGAGGTGGTAATCTGTAAATAATTAAAGAATAATAAATAGGTACCTGCAGAACCAGTTATTTTCCCTTTTCCTCAACAAGCATCTGGGTCTTTGCAGCCCCAGGTCAATGGCCTGTGCCCCGGCTCAGACTGGACAGCACCTCCAGCTCTGGCCATGACGTACAAGGAGAGATCACAGCCAAAATAGGACGGGTCAGTGTCAGGTTAAGAAACCAGGACTCTGAACTGGTTGAAAGACCTGTAGCTCAGCAGGTTCTCCACACCATCATGCCTGCTTGCCCTTCATTTCCTACTCCAGGTTTACTTAGTTTCCACCCAACCACTAAGCACCCACTTTTCCTTCCGTCAGGCAGAAACACAACAGGGCTGGTAGAGCCCCAGTTCCGAATAGCTCTGCATCGGTCAGCCTTGCAACTCACTCCATTTTTACTCTGAATCCTAAGCTGATAACTCGGTAACCTTTCTAGGCCTCTGCACTGAATTCTCGGCCCAAATTTGCTGGATTTGGCTGGTTCCCAGTTCTTCCAAAAGCAGGTGCTCCAGCTGCTTCTGGTAGTCCAGAGATCCTGCACCACCTGGGAGACAACTGGAAATGCAGAATTTCATGCCCCACTCCAGCAACTGAATCAGAATCTCCATGGGAACAAGATCCTCAGATGATCTGTAAACACTTTAAGGTTTGAAAAATACTAGTCTAGACGACGAAGGGCCAGTGGCAGGGCCACCCCACTGTCTGAATGTTGGCCTCCCTGAGGCTCATTGCCAGAGTAATGGGACCTCCTGACTATAATGCCTGTCTTGGCTGCACTGTTCCACTCGCCAAACACCACCAGAGATGAGTTTTCTAAAGCCCAGTCTGATCATGCTTAGAACTCTAGCACAAGTCTAAGAGCAGCAGGAACAGCTTCCACAGGCCTTGCCCACCATATCATCCACCAGCCATCACCTTCCACTCTATGCTCCTGCCATGGGAAACCACCTGTGGTCCCTGGAAAGCAGCAGCTACCTAGGATCGCATTTTTATTAATGTAAATGTCCCTAGTATGTTCATCACTTTCACACAGTATCAGAATGAATGCATAAAAAATTTAGAACAGATCAATGACTCTGGGAAAAGGGTCTGGAGTAAAAGGATAACTTTTTTCTTTTCTTTCACTTTTTTTCCATCTGCCTGTATTAACTTTGCAATTAAATAAAACACCCCCCCTAGGAGAAAGCTAGGCAGGACCAGTCACTGGAGAAATATCTAGCTATCTTACTGCTGCTGTATTAAAAAGGATATAAGACTTCAGAGTGCTCGTGTGCCTTTGAAAGTCGTCAATAATAATTGTGGGAAATTTGAATAATTCACATAATTTCAACAGAAAAATCAGCATAAAAATCAAACACATCCCTCACAGTTCCTTAAACATATCATTGAAAACATTTTTTTCTCTGAATATGTAAACATGTTAGTTTTCCAAAATCTTAAATTCTGAACTGCGACATTCCAAGTTTAAATGTTAAAATCTACAGTACTAAACGAAGTCTTCAACTAGTTTGGCTTATTCATATGATGAGCCTACTCTTTAATTCAACTAAAACTTATAGAGAACCCAGTGAAGGCAATGTGCTGAGCATGCGCCATACAGGTGCTTAATTTATGCCTTTTCCAAGCCAATGTTCACTAACCTACCACCACGTTCTACTCCAATATGTATTTTTTATCCACATAAATCTGTGTGCTGCAACCGTACGTTTCAAAATCATAACTTAAGTTTTAACTTATACAATTACATGACCACAACCCACATGAAAAAGGTAATATCTTATTTTTAACATCAATTACTTAGAATAAAGGCTGCCCCCAATTTTCCAACTTGTATAAAATAATACTTGTTTTGCAAACCTTAATAAACTTTTTATCTGTTTCCAATTAGGCTTAATTTGAAGCCTAAAATCAAATGATAAATGTTTCTCCAGACACATTGCAGAGAAGGCGTGACCTTGGCTAACAGTTCATTCGTACATGATTTTAAGTGGGTAAAGAAAATTAAAGAGAGGAGTTCTCAGAAAACTTATATTTAGATGCTTACATTAAGATTCATTTTACATCTGTTCTTTTCTATTCTCATATGGGACTCTTAGATGAAAGACCTTCAATTCATTTGCTAAAATGACTCAGATATAACTTCTATCTTTAAAATATAGTTACTACCGATTTTTTAAAAGGGCAAGAAGAAAAATACTTGACAAGCTAAATCTTAAAAAGGGCACAGCTAAAAAAAAAAAAGTACTACCTGTGATAGTCATAGCCAAATTTGATCAGACCTCAACTAACACTGGATATTGGTTTTCAGTTCCTAAACTGAATGCAATTCTCTTTGACTCCCTACAAAATCTAAGAGTTAAACTGAAGAGTGAATAGCTAGGTTTTAAGGTACAGACACTTGATTTCATTTACTCTTGGAATATTTTATTTCTTTAAGACTAAATTGTATAATAAATTCTCACATCTCATATTTTGGCTTTTTTTAAAGTAACAAAATATTTATTACTAAACACACCTGTTTGGTAGATTATTGTTTTTACAAGTAGATTTAAAACCAAGGCAAATACAAAAACATTTGAAAAGATGGTTGACATCACTACTCATTAGGAAAATGAAAATCAATACCAAAATTAGATACCACGTTTTACCCATTAAGACGGTTACTATTAAAAAAAAATAAAAACCAAGTATTAGCAAGGATGTGGAGAAACCAGAACACTTGTGCACTGTTTGTAGACATGAAAAATGGTAGAGCTACTGTGGAAAACAGTATGGCAATTCTGTAAAAAGTTAAAAATAGAATTACCATGTGATCCAGCAATTCCACTTCTGTGCATATAGGCAAAAAATTAAAAGCAGGGTCTCAAAAGAGATATGTGTACATTATTATTAGTCACAACGGTGAATTCACAACATCTAAATTATTCACAACAGCTGAAACAGTGGAAGCAACCCAAGTGTCCATGGATGAGTGAATGGATAAACAAAATGAGGTCTATAATTATTACCAACCTTAAAAGGAAGAAAATCCTGATACATGCTACGACTTGGATGAACTTTTAAGACATTATGCTAGGTAAAACAAGTCAGTCACAAAATGACAAATACTGTATGACGCCACTTATAGGAGGCACTTAGGATAATTAAAATTACAGAGACAGAAAGTAGAATGGTGGCTGTCAGGGCCGGAAAGAGTTTGGAATGGGGAATCATTGTTTAATGGGTATAGAGTTTCAGTTTTATAAGATGAAAATAATTATGATCATGGATGGTGGTGATGGTTACACAATATTATGAATGTGTTTAATACCACTGAATTGTGTTATTAAAAATGGTTAAGATAGTAAAATTTATGTTCTATATATTTTACCACAATAAAACAAATTTGATAGGAAAAGAATCAGGCAGGTAGATTCGTAAGGAAAACAGAAAGCTTGGACCAACTCCTATATATAAAGCAAACAATATTTCATGTATAACCCTCATCTCAGATGGTAAGAAAAAGATCACTGTAAAACTAACCAGTACTCTTGAGCACCACAGACACATTCCATTTCCAAAGTTTATGAGATTGTAAGTAACCAGAACCACTTGACAAGATACCTGAATAAATGAAGCGAAGAATGTCTGATAAACAAGAACAGAAGAGGGCGTCTTTAACAATAACTCGTAATGGTGGGTTGCCTGAAGATTCCTGGCTAGCACCTGGAAATGCAGTATCTCTGTTTATAGCAAAGAGATCCTGGGTTGTTCGGATGATACTGGAATCCTGAATGTCAGTGGGACTCTTCACATTGAAAAGCAGCATGAAAACATGGCTTACAGCGCAGAGAACGATCTTGTGGGCCTCTATAACTTCTTTTAAATCAGGGTTGTAAAATACCACGTCCACGCACTGGCAGCAGAACAGCAAGTTATTTAAGTCAGAGTTATAGTGTGATGCTTCAGCCTTTAAGACAGGCATTTTTTCTGTTTTGAAAAATAAAAATAAAAAAAGTAAACTCCTTTCAGGTTTACAGATCAAATAATTTCATGTTTACTTGAAATACAATCATATAATATTTAAAAATATTATTAGGTTAAAACATGAGAAACATATTTAACCACTTTTTGATGCACAAAAACAGCAATTTTGTATAGCTTAACTTAATTTATAAACATATATAAACTAATTACTCAGGGACTATAGAATTTTATAACAGACACACAGATACTATGTTTATTAGAGCAAATGAAAACCTACAAACGATGTACAGAGCAATAAAATAACATTTCTCCTTGTTTGTGTGTCCCAAAATAAAACAACCTGCCAAATACTCAACTTCAGTATTTTGTACTCATCACTCTATTTCTACCTTTGATTTTAAAAATTCAAAGTACTGAGTAAGTTCTGAAGACCCCAACCTCACATCTGAAGCCCTTTTCTTCCTGGGATCAGAAGCAGAGGTAGAGGGCAGAGCTGTTAAAATTCTGCAACTTCTCAAAGTCAAGGCTCAAACTCTTGAACTCTATTGTTTGAAAATTTTGACCACTCTCTGGATTCCAAAACTATTATTTTTTCCTTCTAGTAAAACACTTCAGCAAAAGTGCTGACTCAGCTCCCTCATTTCTAAAAGAGGATATAACCTTCAGCTTACTAGTTTGATCACCAGGAAAGAGAGATGAGCCCTCAATCAGCTCTGAATACCTATACTCCAGGCCCTCACCACAGACCCTAACTGCAAAACAGCTGCCATCTCATTTTTATCCAAAGAGGAGCTGAGGAAAGTGATATTTGTGAAGGGTTGCTTGAAGCGTATGCAACCATCTAAATCAGTGAAATTCAAACTTCTTTAGCAATAAAAATCCTTAATTCCAAAGCAAACCCCAGCCCATAAAACAGATAATAACAAAGTCCTTTGGAGGCCAGGCTCTCCCTGCGCTGTATCCCAGTCCATCCTCCTCCCTTCCACTGCCTGTGGCGCCATCACAGAACCCTAAACACTATGCACCCCAGAGCCCAGGATCCATCCTTGGAACAAATCAGCCCCAAATATGTACCCAGACTGTATTGTCCTGAACCCCTGGGATATCTTTAGTGTTATACACATGTCTCTTAGCAGAAGAGTATAAGAAACAGCCTTGTGAACCCTAAGGCTGCATTTGCTCTAGGGCCTTTTGAAGGCCCTGGCCACTATACCACTTAGTACTCCCACATGAAGACCCATACAAAAGATTTTTCTTTTCTTTTCTTTCCTTTCCTTTTCTTTTTCTTTTTTTTTTTTTTTTTTTTTTTTGAGACAGTCTTGCTGGAGTGCAGGGGTGTGATCTCGGCTCACTGCAACCTCTGCCTCCCAGGTTCACGCAATTCTCCTGCCTCAGCCTCCTTAGTAGCTGGGACTACAGGAGTCATCACCATGTCTGGCTAATTTTTGTATTTTTAGTATAAACAGAGTTTCATTATGTTGGCCAGGCTGGTTTCAAACTCCTGACCTCAGGTAATCTGCCCGTCTTGGCCTCCCAAAGTGCTGGGATTATAGGCATTAGCCACCACGCCCGTGCCAATGTATTTCTTTTAGAGCTAAGTGACATGTAATGTTTTGCTTTCTCTGAAGATCTGGTATGTTTTGTCTTTTTGATTAATAAGAAGTGAGAACTAACTAACTCTCTGTTATTTAGCTAGTCATTTCCCACTCATCTTTAATCCAGAAAGGATTTAAGGCCCAAGGGTTTGCAACCTAATAGACCATATCTCCCCTTTCACTTTGCATACCAGGAAGCTTAGAGCCAACTGTGTATTATTCATGGTCTATAGATTTGCACTTTTTTTTTAAGAGATGGGGTCTCTTAACTTCCAAAGCACATTAATCCAATAAAGTGCTACTCCACTATTTCTATCAAAAATCTGGTAACAGTTGATATAATTTATTTATGTTTAAGTTTATTTGCTCCAAACTTTGTATTACAAACATTTTCAAACATTCAAAAAAGTTTAAAGAATGATGCAATGAACACACAGATACCCTTTACTCATATCTGCCACCTGAATTTTGCAATTACTAACATTCTATTTCTCCCTTATCTCTAGAGACAGAGAGACAGACGGACACACACACACACACACACACACACACATGCACGCGCGCACACACACACACACACACACAGAGCTGAAATATTTAAAAGTTGCCATCATCACAATGCCTTGGATCTAAAATACTTTCACCTTCATCTCCTAGGAATAAGAACATTCTCCTACTCATCATAATGCCATTATGATACATAAGAAAATTAACAGTAATTAAATGATATAATTTCTAGTCCATATTAAAATTTCATCCATGTCCCAAGAACATGTTTTAGATGTTTTTACTGAACCAGTAGCCAATCAAGGTTAATGCGCATTGCATTTAGTTGTCATTTAGCACCAGACTTTAATCTAGAACAGCTCCCCACGATGACACACGCTATTTTTAGAGTCCATAGGTTCAATTTTTAAAGCAGTATTTCTCAAAATGTTATTCAAGTACCAATCTGCTTCTGCATCACCTGGGAAGCTGATTAAAGCAGAATCTAGGCCCTATCCCAGGTTGACTGAATCAGAATGTCAGGGAAGCTCTGAGCATGCTCAAGTTTGAGAACAACTGCTCTCAGACCTGTGAGAAAAGATCAGGAATGAATGTCTAGACATTGGCTAATAAATGCACCTGGTTGTTCAAGTTGAGGTGGTCTAATTCCATGAAACGAGTTGCTGATTTTTCTTTTCTTCATTTTTTCACTTGTCTTCTGATTTAAGGCTTGAATCATAAAATACTCCAACTAAAACAGGAATCAAATTTTAATTGAAGAGCGAACGAAATTATATCTCCAACATGAAAATTTGCATCTGAGGTCACAATTGTCAAACGTTTTAAATGTCAGTACCATTTATATGTATGCATTAGCAAACATATATAAACAATTTTTTTACTCAAAATAATGAATCTAGTGAAGCAGATTGTGCCTTGTCTGAACATAGGCTATCCGTTCAAGAACGAATTGTTATCAATCTTTCTGCCACAAAGACACATGCACTATTCACAACAGCAAAGACATAGTATCAACCTCAATGTCCATCAGCGTAGACTGGATAAAGAAAATGTGGCACATACACACCATGGAACACTACACAGACATAAAAAGAATGAAACGATGTCCTTTGCAGCAAAATGATGGAGCCAGCGGCTATCATCCTAAACAAACTAACAGGAACAAGAAACCAAATACCACAGCCATTGTGTGGCTGCTAATAATTTTCTCCGTGGGCAACCACCACAGTTAATACTAGTGAAATTCAAAGCAGGAACAGATCTGCCTCTATGTCTACAGAGCTAAACATTGAGTACATATGGACGCAAAAAAGTGACCAGCAGACCCCAGGGCCTACTTGAGAGGGTGGTGGGAGGGAGGAGGGTGAGGATCAGAAAACTACAAACTACCTACCATGTATGATGCTTATTACCTGGTTGGTGAAAGAATTGTGACATGTCACCCCTGTGACATGCAATTTACCTATATAACAAACATGTACCCCTAAACCTAAAATATAAAAGTTTTTTTTTTAAGTGAAGGAATTGTTTGTTTTCTATTTTTAATTTAATTTTTTTTTTAATTTTAGAAATGGAGTGTCACTATGTTGCTCAAGCTAGACTCAAACTCCTGGACTCAAGGGATTCTCCCGCCTCAGCCTTCCAAGTAACTGGGATTATAAGTGCCTGCCATCCCACCCAGCTACTTTCTTGAATACTCAAGTAAGCCAAGCACTACAATTGTGTGGCTGCTAATAATTTTCTCTGTGGGCAACCACCACAGTTAATACTAGTGAAATTCAAGGCAAGGAACAGATCTGCCGCTATGTCTACAGATGTTTCCATCAGCCAAGAAACTTCACTTTCTTCTCTTAAACAAATTTCTTTAAAATCTGTCTTTTACTTTACAAATTAAAAATCTCACTCAGGTGCATTTACATAGCTTCAGGCCTCTGCCCTAGCTTGCAAGGCCTGGGGCAAAAGGACAAATGGAGGTCCACCCACCACAGAGCTAAATATTTAAACGCTGTAAATGAAGAAAACAAACTGTTACATAAAAGATATGCTATACTCCTGGCCGAGCGCAGTGGCTCACGCCTGTAATCCCAGCACCTTGGGAGGCCCGCTTTGACAAATACATCATCATGAAAGCCTGCCAGGCAAGATTTAGATTTACATTCTCAGATTCTTCAGAGATTCATACAGCAAAGGGAGCACTGGTCTGTAATTCCTGAGCCCTAGGACCACCCATTCTCTTCTCACCTCCTGCTCTATCTCATGCCTTAAAGAGCTCTGTGCACACAAGTGGACTTCCAAGCTCTGTCCACTCTCCCCTCTCCCATTCCCCATAAAGAGTCACCCTTTGGCCATACCACAGGACTAGGGGTGCATATACCAGCAATGCAGGCCACCATCAGGAGAACAGACCCAGCAAAATGGCCTGCACAAGCCCAGGGAACAGACTCAGGACCAATGGTGGGAGAATTCTGGGGTTCTGGGTTTGGAAGCATAGTCCAAACACTATTCCCTAGACCTTTCTGTGTTGATAGAAATGTTCTGTAATATATGCATTATATAATACAGTAGCCACTAGCCACTTGTAGCCATAGAGCACCTAAAATATAGTTCATATGCTTGAAGAACTGAATTTTACTTGATTTTATTTTATCTTCATTCATTTAAATATAAATAGCCACATGCAGCTAGCGGCTGCCATACTGGACAGTGCAGGTCTAGAAAGGAATGAAGTCCACCAGTTCCAGGTGAATACAGCCCTCAGCTCCACTGACTTAAGCCTTGTGGGGAGGGGTACAACTGGAGGACCGCCAGATGAAGCTCTCTAAATCTGGAAGGCAGGCGGCCCTCTCTCTGGCCTAGGTGTGAGAGTAGTACTGCACAGCTCTTCATCCCTGACCCTTACAGGCAGGATTTTAAATGCTCCTTTCATTCTAACATTATCATCTCCATCCATATGTCTGCCAATGCCATTCTATTTTACACTCAAGATCCCAGCTGTACTTTATTAGAAAGTAAAGCGTCTAAAAAGAGATCATTCTGATCTTATTTCCATATTCTCATCAGGTCTTGAGTTAAGGAAAAAAGAAACTGCCATGTCTTTCTCCAAACCTAGGCCACATCAATCCTCATCATGCCTCTAACCCTAATTGCAACATTAGATATTAGGAAGAAAGAGAAAAGGAGCCAGAAGAAGAGACAGAGAGGAGAGAAAGTGGGAGTGGGAAGGTGGGAAGAGTGATCCTGGGAATGTCAGGTTCTGGATCCTGGAACAGGGAGCAAGGAGAACTGCAGCTCCCAAGGGAACAGCTCCCCTCAACAAATGAAACCAAATCCTGCACCAAATAATCTGACAAATGAACCTTCACAACAAGTAAAACCAGACCATCTTTTTATTCTCCAGCTCCCCAAGTATTTTAAGAAATACACCATTTTTCATCAAAGTAAGATTTTTTTTAAAAGCTACTACAATATTGTCTGCTTGACAGGAAGATTAAATCTCTCTTATCCACCTTTCTACTCACTGCTTATCACTGTAAATGAATACAGCAAAAGTTTCTCACAGTCATCGATAATATCAATACCGTGAGTATAACTTCCTTAACATTGTAATATTAATGTTTCTTTATATTATTGGGTGAATAAAAGCCATTTATATTTGATGGAAATTAGCACCATTTGTATTTGGTCTTTATTTTACCCGTTTACACAAATGATATTTCTGTAGTCCTCTGTGGAACCTCAACATTTCAACATGAATTTATATAATGAATATTGGGGCATATTGGCAAGAGTACCTGGTGAGGACCTAGGGAACAGATGGGGGTGGCAAAGTGCTCCTGCTTAAGGTAGCTTTTCTTTGCTTTTAACTTCTCGATGATGTATGTTTGTCTGTTGAGAGGAGTTGCTTCTAAGACATTTGGAAATGTAGTTTCTGTGTCAGCAAATTCTTAAATGATAGAACTCCAGTATTCTCCAAGGATGTTACAGTCTCCCATATGTTACCATATGGGAGGTGCTGTGTGTTAAGATCAGCATCAAAGCAACTGCAGAACCTAATAAGCACCACTGCAGCCGAGCAAGCAAGTCTGCTCCCACATATCCAACAAGCAGCTATTTGCATAAGTAGTTCCTCTGAATCTGTTCGAGTTACAGTAAGATTAGGAGGATATACAATTTTGCCAAAGCACAGACAGAGGAAGAAAAATTATTCTTTTCAACCAGGAGATGGAAATGAAAGAGAACTTTTGGGGCCTGCTGGCTCAGGCTGCCAGGCTCATTCAGCTGTATAAAGATGACTATTAAAACTGGCATCACAGGTCTGGATAAGTAAACATGCTTTTGACACATACAACAAAAAGTGCTAAAGTATCACCAAATGTAAAATTCTAAAATATCATATTAGATAATAGAAAAGGTTTCATTTGGAGAGAAAAATAAAATAATAATTTTATTCCAATAAAGGCTTTGCCACTCCCTCTCATTTTATTACTCAAGGTTAAGTAAGACTAACCATACTTTTAAATCTGAAGTTCTAACTGATGTTCTAGAAAATAATTAAAGAGCCAACCAGACACATAACTTTATACATAACGGGAATTTCCACTTACCACGCCTCCAAAATACTTTCCTATGTAGAAGTCATCAAGGCTGTGGAGTTCAAGATAGGTCGCTCCTAGTTCTTTGGCAAGTTGTATCCCTTCGGTTGTACTAACACAGCTCCCCCTGTCTGATGTACATAGTGGGCATGTACAAGGTAATTCTTCTGAGAAAATAAATTTTAAAACAAAGAGTTTTCAAACTAAACAGAAAAAAAGGTACTTAGACAATCTGAACGTTAAACAACAAACTAAGCTCATACCAGAGCCACAGTTCAAAAGCATTCAGTATATCCACTATCCACTAAACGCTGAATAAAAAGTGTCAGTGATCGTAGAAAGGTCCCTAAATAAACAAGCATTTGCTGCAAGAATAATAAACAGCATTTTATAAAATAGAAAAATTTAAAAGTAGGTGAATGGATATTACCAAACAACCAGTAATCATGGGCCTGCTTCTTTTTACCCAACCTTGACATCCTGAATATCAATATTTCTAGGCCAGGAGAAAAGAAGACAAATGTAACAACTTGATTGCCACGGAGAGCATGAACAGTGGATTGGCTTTTTTAATACGATAAATTTTAAATCTATTTACAAAGTTTGAGTACACCTTATACTTCTATTGTAACAGAACCTTCAATTTGACCTGATTTTCAAGGCAACAAAATCGTCACTCTTTTTATAAACTTCGTGTGAAGTACATTCCTATCAATTCAGACATTTCCATCATTGGAAATGATGTAAATGATTTGACTTCAGAGAACAAGTTCTCTGAAAAGATGAAGATTCTTTATCTTTTCCTTTAAGATTAAAAAGTTAAAAACTGAAGGAATAAAAAGCATTAACTCAAAAAGTGAAACATCCCAAGACTTACAGTTGTACCATGTATAGATCTATGGCTAGGAAGGTAGCAGAACAATCTATCTATAAGAACATCCCTCATAAGGCTAAAAATACATGTTCAACTCCACATTTGTCAGCCAGCTCTGTTATGTATCATGTCCACAACATCAAATGTAACACCATTCAGAAAGGCAGATAGGTCAAAAGAGGGTAAATTCATTTCTAGAAATGCATGTTGTTGTAGACTGGCTTCCCTTGGGAAGGAAGACTCTAAAATGGAGAGCGGTGTGGCAGAGGTGAGCGGGGGCGTGATCTTGGGAATAATCTTTCTCTGGGGGGTAAGGGATGCAGGACTGGGTAGAGGGAATATTGGAACCGCAGTACCATTGGAACAGGGACCAAAGCTGATCCTACAGGGAGCTCTGGAGCTTAAGATGGCCTGTTAGAGTTGCTCCTCATTTGGGGAAAGGAGGTAGCTGAGCCTTTGTATCCTATCCCTAAATCTACCAGTAATCAGACAAGGGCTGAGCCCCTGGAGCAGGCATAACTTGGGCAAGGCACTCCCATCAGTACAGAGTAATGCAGGGAAACGGGCTCAGATGTGCACCACCAGCAGCCAACAAGACCCAGTAACTGAAGGAGTATGTACACTGGCCCTGAAGGGGCATTTGAGCTGCTCCTCATTGTATATGCAGCAACTTCCCTATGAATGAACTGCATAGAGATGGAGCAGATATATGTAAATATCGGGTACATGCTAAATATATTTAGTGCATGTGTATACCATGTATGTAAAAACACACATACACATACAGACACACATGGCTTAGATAATTTTAGCTTCACTGAAAGCATTGTAGAGCTCAGAGACCATTATTCATATTCTCATTTTGCAGAGGAAGAAACAGACTCAGAGAGGTTATGTGACTTTTCCAAGTCTCTTTGTGGGTTAGAGATAGAGAAACGATCAAAACACTGCGACTTCCTCCACCTGATAATAAAAGTGATACCAAAAGGGAAAATAAAAATATAGTTTGAGTAAAGAATTATTGATTCCAAAGATACGGTGATTTAAAAATTAAGCTTGAGTTCTCTAAATTATACCATAAATTCTAATATGAGATTTTACTTTTACTTCTTCTAAGATTGTTTTAAGTTTGGAGCAAATAAAGCTTTCATAGAGAACTTAGCCTGTCTTGAAAAATAATGTGTTGGTATTTCACATTCTTTACAAAGCCTTTGTAAACAGCGACTTTGATTTTCTGAAGACAGAGGCCTTCTTATATCTACAAAGGTCTCCTTATGTTGATGGAATGGAGTGGGCAGGCAGATCATCTTATTAAACTTTATTTCTGGACAGAAATCAAGCAGAAACAGGATTGTTTCAAGGAGAAAAACAAAGTGAACATAATGTAAAATAATTTTTAACAATCTTGATTTGAGGGAGAAAATACAAATAATTTCAGGTTATACCAGCAGGGTGGGTTTTCCACTGCACATGGTTGTAAGCATCTTACTTACGCACATTCCTAGAAAGTGCCCGTGTCTCCTCTACGTCACTGAAGACATTTATTTTTGTTCACTCACCAGAAAGGAAAAAAATGCCTAGTCATTCTAGTTACACCATATTAGTCTAGTTACACCATATTATGCTGTAAGTAGTTGCCACTTAGCTACCTTCCCTTTATCAATCAGCTATATGACCTAAGATTCCAAGTAAAAAAGTCTGACTTTTATTGGTCATAGCATAAGAATCAATTCTGAATTAAATCAGTTTCTGTAAACCATTTAATCAGAATAAGCAGAGGACTCAAAATAATTTTAAACTGTGGTGCCGCATGGTCACGTGACTCTGAATCAGTGTAGTACACTTCTAGCTAACATTTTGTCCCCTTACATGCTTAAGATGTTGTCATACAATGCTGTCTATTTTTTAAAAGCAAGAACAATGTAACTGACATTCAAACAAATGGCATCTCTTTGAAAAGTAGTGGCTTTGGGAACCTGTAGGTTAATTCTTACAACATTGCCAATGCTTGGCAGTTTTAGAAATTCTTTTCAAAAATTCTAGCCTAGTAAAGGATCAGGCTCAATCAGAGCTTCAAAAATAACTGAAAGGATGCCTGTCTTTGGGAGCTTAAAGCTGTGAATCCATTCTAAGCAAAATCTGAAAAAAAATAGTTTTTCAAGATAGATTCAATATTTTGTATAAGCCAAACATTTATTCAGAGCCAAGTATGATGAAGACATCCATTCAGTCAAGGTTGTCAAAAACGTGTAACAAAGGAAAGAAATGAGGCTGAATTATATTTGCTGAATTCTTTTCAATTTTAAAAAGAATTTTCAAGAAGCTGAGTGTGATGGCGTGTGCTTAATTCCAGCTACTTGGGAGGCTGGGGTGGGAGGATCCTTTGAGCCCAGAAGTTGAAGGTCAGCCTGGTCAACATAGCAAGAGCCCATCTCCATTTTTTATTTTTTAAATTTTTGTTTATTTATTTATTTATTTTGAGGCAAGGTCTCACTCTGTCACCCAGGCTGGAGTGCAGTGGCATGATCTCTGCTTACTGTAACCTCTGCCTACCCCGGGCTCAAGCAACCTTCCCTCCTCAGCCTACCTAGTAGCTGGAACTACAGGTGTGCATCACCATGCCTGGCTAATTTTTTTATTTTTAGTAGAGATGGGGTTTCACCATGTTTCTCCAGGCTGGTCTTGAACTCCTGATCACTAGTGATCTTCCCACCTCAGCATCTTAAAGTGCTGAAATTACAGGCGTGAGTCACCGTGGCCAGCCCCGTAATCTCTATTTAAAACAAAAAACAAACAAACAAAAATGGTTAAAAGAGTTCCAAGGGAATTACCAGGAGAGCACTCAGCACAGTTTCATGTATTCCAAGGGATGGAAGAGGGGAAGCCAATAAAGGTCCTTGAGTTGAATAGCCAGATTTAGCTAGTTCTCTTAGCAGAACAGTCCCAGCAGAACTAATGTGTAAGCCAGAAGAAAAGGCCCAGGACTTCTCCCATAAGGCAACACAAAGAAATACAGCAACAAGAAATATAAAAGAAACATAAAAGAATCAGAGAAGAGATCCAGAAGTTTCAACATCAATCTAACAAGAGTCCCAAAAGAAGAGAATAGAGAAAATGGAGGGATGGTGATATCTGAAAAAGTCACAAAGTTATCTGTGGGGCGGTGGGATAACATTAGGAGAAATACCTAACGTAGATGACAAAGCGATGGATGCAGCAAACCACCACCATGGCACGTGTATACCTATGTAACAAACCTGCATGATCTGCACATGTAACCCCAATACTTAAAGTATAATAATTTTTAAAAAACTGATTAAAGGTATCTTGAAATGACTCTCTCTAGGCAAATATGGAGCAATGTAAGCAATGGAAAGAATAATCAGAATAGATTATATAATACTGAATTTAAAATACAAATCCATTAATCATGATTCTAAGAGAAAAATTTGGGAGCAGAGAAATAGGAAAGCTCCATCTACAGAAGAACATCAACTAATAAGAGTAGAAGGAATGATAGAAACATCACTATTTTGCAAGCACATTTATCATAAATGAAGGAATTATGCGAACTAAAGGGCCTGGGTTCATTAAAAATGTTAATGTTATGAAAGACTCAGAACCTCCCCACAAAAAACCAGTGAGGGTACTGCTCCAGATTAAAAGAAAGTAGAAGGCAGATATGGTGAAGTATGCCTACATTCCTAGCTACTTGGCAGGCCGCCGCATGAGGATTGCTTAAGCCCAATTTCCAGAGCAGCCCAGGCAACATAGCAAGATCCTGTCTCTAAAAAAAAAGGGGGAGGACAAGAAAAGAACAGAGAGATAAAACAACTAAATGCAATATGTAATCTTTAATTGCATCCCAGATTGGTGAAAAAAACAACAACAATAAAACCCAGCTATAAAGCACATCATAAATAAATAACTGGAGAAATGTAAATATGGATTATATCTTAAATAATAGTAAAAATATAATAGTATGTTAGATTTCTTGACTGATGATTATATTAGGCTTAATAGGATAGTGGCCTTGTTCTCAGATTATACATGCTGAAGTAATTAGGAATGAAGAAATCTCACAATGTTTACAATTTACTCTCAAGTGGTTCAGCCAAAAAGAGAGAGAGAGAGAGAGAGAGAGAGAGAGAGAGAGAGTGTGTGTGTGTGTGTGTGTGTGTGTGTGTGTGTTTATAAAACCTAAGGTCCTAAGGTTCAATGTCTCATTCTTGTCAATTTTCTTAGGTTTGAAATTTTGGAAAATAAGAGGAAAAGAAGAAAGTTTCTAAAAAATTCAAAGCACTGAGTGGCATGATCTGACTTGTGTTCTAGGATGACTATTCTGAGAGAATTTATTTCAGAAAGAGACAAACCAGGAATAGCACACCAGAGGCCAATTTACCACGAGGCTGATGAAGCTCAAGCTTCAAGGCTCTTTTCTTGTGGATCCTTTCCAAGCCCCAGGAAGAACCTGGGCAACATATCTTCACATGGTCATATTCTCTTGTAAAATTTGCAAAATAAGATATTTAGTCAATACTACTGTCTCTTTCCACTCCAAATCACTTCAACTTGTGTCAGACAGCTCTGGAGTAACCATGGGCATTTTGGGGAAGCTGCTAAGGGGAATTTAACTTTAGGCTTAGTGAGCGATTATTTGTTGTTTATAATCACTTCCACCTACAGTTGAGTGTTTGATAACTATCCTAATATGCGTATGACTTTTAGAAATGCTTCTGTCACCCACAGTGCACACTGACTTGGTGTCATGACAAGAATGCTGAGCTGAAATAGGAATACAACACAAACTCTGGTGCTCAGGATCAGAAAGATGTGGAAAGAGAAGAAATATGCTGAAAGAAAAACTGATTCTCTTCTCTCTATAGAAAATATCACAAAGTGGTTGTATTCATCCATTCTCATTCTACTGACAAAGACATACCTGAGACTGGGTAATTTATAAAGAAAAGGAGGTTTGATGGACTCAGTTCCACATGGCTGGGGAGGCCTCACAATTGTGGCGAAGGTGAAGAAGGAGCAAAGTCACATCTTACATGGCAGCAGGCAAAAGAGCATGAGCACGGGAACTGCCCTTTTATAAAACCATCACTTCTCATGAGGCTTATTCACTATCATGAGAACAGCACAGGAAAAATCCACTCCCATGATTCAATTACCTCCCACCATGACACATGGGGATTATTACAATTCAAGTGAGATTTGTGTGTGGATACAGCCATAACATAGCAGTGGTTATCTTATGAAGAGATGACAAAGGCTATGGTCACCCAAAAAATATAAGAAAATCTTAAAAAGTATCAGGCTGTTAAAAGTATCTGTTGCCAGGTGTAGTGGCTCATGCCTGTAATCCCAGCACTTTGGGAGCCTGAGGTGGACAGATGGCTTGAGCCTAGGAGTTTGAGACCAGCCTGGGCAACATGGCGGAATCTCATCTCTACAAAAAAATTAGCCAAGTGTGGTGGCACATGCTTGTAGTCCCTGCTACTCAGGAGGGTGAGGCAGGGAAGATTGTTAGAGCCCAGGAGGTCAAGGCTGCAGTGAGCTATGATCATGTCACTGCACTCCAGCCTGGGGGACAGAGAAAGACCCTATCTCAAAAATATATACATATATTTAAAAACGCTTGTAGTATTCGACAACTTTTTAGTTGTGATTTGTTGTGCTTTCACTTATCATTCAAAAATTTATTTTGTACAAATATTTATCTGTTATTTTATAGGGTGTTTTTTCCTTACAAAGGACCTCCCAAATTGTATAAGTTTGAGGCCCTGCAAAATCTGAAAGCACCCTTTAAAGAGACCAAAAACAAGGCCACCATGACAGCTAATTAAATGATTAGGATGTGAAATCCAATGGAGATGAAGAGAAAGTAATGAGTTTGAGATTTATTTAAAATGTAAAAGCAAAAGGGCTTCTTAATTAACTGGATATGAGGAAATGGGGTGGGTGTAGGCTGATTCCCGTTTGCGTGAATGGATAGGTTTGGCATCATTCACCAAAAGGAATTTGGCCAGAGGAAGATGGCCTTTATGGAGATAGGCATGAGGAGCAAGAATAAAACCAGAGACAGACTGAACAGTCATCAGTGTGTATGCAGGAGAAACCAGGGCAACAGATTAGCAAGTTAATGGTCTGGCTGAAGAGTAAGAACAGGTGAGGCCAAAGGATAGAACCCTGGGAAACAATTCCATGGTATGTTGGTGCTGCTATGTGTGTGGGAGGATGGGAGAAAGGTAAAGGAGACAGAGAGTTAGAAGAACAAAGAAAGAAAGAGACGCTTTATTAAATGAAGGGAGAGGTATGTTTAAATAATTTTAATAAGTGATAACTATTATCTCTTATCTCTTCAATAAGACATAATTATTATTAAAGTGTATTAAACTTGGCAACAAGCATGTAAGTGGTTTCTCAGTCCGTTTTGTGCTGCTAAGATGGAATACCACAGACTGGGTAATTTATAAAGAAAAGAAATTTATTTCTCACAGTTCTGGAGGCTGAAAAGTCCAACGTCAACATGCCAGCATCTGGTGAGACCACTGTATCTTCCCATGGTGGAAGGCAGAAGGACAAGAGAACTTACAAGACAGAGGGCAGAAGGGGCCAAACTCATCCTTCTATCAGGAGCCCACTCCTGTGACAACTAACCCACTCTAGAGATATTAGCATCAGTCCATTCATGAGGGCAGAGTCCTCTTGCCCAAATTACCTCCTAAAGGTCTCACATGGCCCAAAACTGTTGCATGGGGATTAAGTGTCTATCACATGAACTCTGGGGAACACATTCAGACCACAGCAACTGGAGACCCTGAGTGAGAACAAACTTGGTGCGATTGCGAAAGTCAAAGTCAGATTGTAGTAGACTGAAGAATAAATAGGAAATGAACTCAGGAAGTGTGGATAACTCTTTTATGAATCATCACCAGAAATAAAAAGAAAGATAGGGAAGTACAGGGGATGTGGGGTCATGGGTGGGTCACGCCTGTCTTATTTGTGTCTACTAATGTTAAATATATACCTGCCCTCTGACCTAACAATCCCTCTCCTGGGCAACAACCTAAGCATCCTCAAAAGAAGAATGGATAAGTAAATTATGGCCGATTCATACAATGGAATGATGTAAGTAATAAAAAGAACAAACTACAGATAAACACAACATGGACAAATCTCAAAAGTATTACACTAACTGAAATTAGCCTGACACAAGACACTACTACATACTGTATAATTTCATTTATGAAGTTCAGAAATAGGTAAAACTAATCTATGTTGTCAGAAATCAGAATAGCAGTTACCTCTGAGGAGGAGTATTATTAACTGGGAAGAGGCATGAGGGAGCCTTCTCAAGTGCTGCAAATGTTCTATACCTTGATCTGTGTGAGTTGCGTGTCTGTATACATAGGTAAAAATGCATTTAGCTGCACTCTAAGATGAGTAAACATTATGTCCTTTACTTTGCAATGCCTCAACTTAAAAGTTTTTAGAATAATGAACAAAAATAAAATTTACAAAACAGCTTTACTAAGGAAATACCACTACGATCTATAAAACACCACCAAATCAAAGTGAATTCTGAGTTGGCCCTAAGATAGCTGACAATAATATGCACAGCAGCAATGGCTGAAGCAGCCTGAACCCAGTGAATCTATCAGCCATGTAATAAGCAATCCTTTCTCTTAGAAAGCACTGTCAGTGTTTTCAGCTCACTCAACATTATCTACCTAAAAATCCTGCTCCCAAGCCCACATCTTCATGTGAACAATCTATCCTTCCCAACTGAGTAGACCTTTAGATCATCAAAAAGAGTTTTCTAGGGCTCAGCATCAGCCTAATACCTTTCATATGTCAAAATAGCACAATTGCTGACTTCCATCACTACTGTAGAAGAGCCATTTAGAAGACAGATTTGCATCCACTGGAATCACAGAAGTTCATGATCCTCTCCTTTGTAGTCTTTTTATTGTATCAAATGATGAAGCCATAGCTGCTGGCATTGAACCAAAGTCACTTTGATTTTCAAAAACAACCTATTATTCATTAATAAACTTAGCCCAATTTACAATATATATAATATTTGCATGCTCACTATGAAAAGAATATTAAATACTTACCATTTTGTCTGGTACCAACAGCGGCAATAATTACTGGAACTGAATTTAATGCTCTTTTTATCACTGGAATATAATTATCCTTTACTTCATGGAATGAAAACTTGTCATTAACGTTGTATTTGATCACAATGATGTCGGCACCCCCAATTAGATTTCGAGAAGTGTACCAATCACTGTCAAATATGTCCTAAACCAAAATGCAAATAGCAATCTTTAGTCTACTTATCTTCCAATCAATTCTGAAATAATTTACAGTATTAATTTTTGGAATTCATTAAAAATTATTTTAAATAGGTAAATACATAAAATTGAAAGTGTTTGCAGTCTGCCAACTGTCTTTTTAAAGATGTTTACTTACTCCTGTAGCTTGGACAATTATGTAATGGTTAAACATGAGAATCTGGGAATTCCTGAGAGTCGGATGAAATAAGCAACTTTCTTCCATATTTGCACTTAAAAATAAGCCCTTTGTTTTAAAATTACACTATATTTTTATCAGCTCATACTTTCAAAAGTGTAACATTATGGCATTAGATGGAAGAGCAACAGTATGAGTAGCGAAGCTTCAAAGGCTTTTTTTCTGTGACCCAGTTAGACACTGCAGGATTTTCAGTGTTTTGAATTGCAATACATTTTGAATTCAGTGCAGTTCCATATACTTTATTCATATTTTCTTTTCTTTTTTTTTTTTTTTTTGAGACAGAGTCTTACTCTGTCATCAGGCTGGAGTAGAGTGGCTCCACCTCAGTTCACTGCAACCCCCGCCTCCCTGGTTCCAGCAATTCTCCTGTCTCAGCCTCATGAGTGGCTGGGACTACAGGTGTGCAACATCACACCCAGCTAATTGTTGTATTTTTAGTAGAGACAGGGTTTCACCATGTTGATAAAGATGGTCTCGATCTCGACTCCGTGATCTGCCTGCCTCGGCCTCCCAAAGTGTTAGGATTACAGGCATGAGCCATCATACCTGGCCCATATTTTCAAAATTCATACATACTTTTCAACTTTATCCATCCTTTGAACACTACTGTATATATACAGTATGTATGTGGGGTGAGGGAGGAATTTCTTTATAAAAAAAAGGTACTGTGTATTACAAGGTGTTAACATGGTAAGAAATATATTTTCAATTCATGTATTTTGCTTACATAAATTAAAAATTCAGGATAAACCTTTCTAGTTCCAAAATCTTTACTTTTGTGCTACAGCTAATAACATTTATATTTATTTAGAACCGGGTCATTACAAACCCTTAAGTATATAGAGTTTTACATTTTTTTTCTTTTTTTTTTTTGGAGACAGGGTCTCACACTCTGTGGCCCAGGATGGAGTCCAGTAGTGCAATCTTGGCTCACTGCAACCTCTGCCTCCCAAGTTCAGGCAATTCTTGTGCCTCACCCTCCCAAGTAGCTGGGACTACAGGTGCGTACCTCCATTCCAGCCTTTTTTTTTTTTTTTTTTTGTATTTTATCAAAGATGGAATTTCACCATGTCGCTCAGTCTGGCCTTGAACTTTTGAGCTCAGGCAATCCGCCCACTTCAGCATCCCAAAGTGCTAGGATTACAGGCATGAGCCACCATGCTTGGCCTGGGTTGATATTTTAAATATAATTTTTCAAAGTTTTTGTATGAATAGTGATGTAAAGAAAATATCTTTAGGTATCTTAATTCAACTACCAAATATGTACACGTAGTTTTCCTCTCACATTCTAGTTAACTATTAATCATTTGTCCTTTTATGTGGCCTCTGGTGCATATTTCTAGGATGTAATAAAGCTAGATTAAGGAAACAGCTAGCTGTGACGAACAGGTCCAAAAGCTGTTGAGCTACGAAAGTTCACAGTTTGAAATATGAGTCTAAAAAAGGGTTAACAGTGTTTGAATCAGCCAACCAAGGTCTATGTGACAGAGCTTTTATCCTACGATGGAAAATTCTGGAGGAGTATCACGGAGCAATGCCCTTCTGCAGAGAGAGCTTCTTCTCATCAGTGCCTCCCCCAGTTCCCATACGCTCCCAGCCACCCATTCCCACAAGTACATTCAGAGTTACACGAACTGCAGAATTTTCAGTCATGAATACCCTATCAAAACTGGGATGCATAGAGTATTTCTGAAGGAAGGTAAAAGAACAACAATAGCAAAAAGGCAAAATATGGACTATAAACAACAAAGGCAAAGGCTTGAACTTGGTAGAGGGTGCAAGGGAGGAGAAGGGAAGTGGGATACAGTGCAAGAAAATGGGAAAGCTTCCCAGCAGAGTTCTCAAACTGCCAAATCCCAAACCACACAACTTATTCAGTTCCAACTGCATCTGTTATAGCGTTCAAGTTCAAAGTATACAAGTATAACAGAGTGCATAAGTTTAACAAAGAAGGAAGACAAACGAGATAAAAAACTAAACAAAAGTGGGGCCAATATTAAGCAGCCACTTAACTCCAAGAAAAGAAATCAAAAGTAGCTGCTTTTTGAATTCCAGAGTTCAAAATAGTTCAAAATTCCAGAGTTACTGGAGAGGTATACAGGGAAGAGGAAGACCTTTAAGGGAAAATATTATGAAAAAATGGGTCTGGGCATTGTTACCTCTGTGGGATTGAGGATGTGAAAACTATAAATACTTTTATTTGTAATCCAAATCAGAGCTTCAAACCCTGCAAAGAAAACTGTGAATCTATTATACCACTTCACTTCTTTTTGTGGAGTATTTTTAATAAACAGTAAAAGATACAGAAATGTGAAATGAAATAATAATGCACCATACCCAAAATACGGATGGAAATGAGAAAGAAAGACACACTAAATAATGGGCTACGTTTCATGAATCTGTAGCACATTTGTTTTAAAAGTGCCAAGTATATAAGGCAAGGATCCAGGGTAAGGCTAAGGATCTATAGAAGAGAACTAGGGAAGAGAAACACAGCTATCTCGTTTCAACTCCAAGGCAACAACAACACAGATCTTCTCAAACTATATCAAAGAGAAAATACTCCAAAGAATTATGAAGGAAATCAAATTCTCCCACTCCTTGTAAATCAGTTCCAGGTATTCCTCTAGGGGGTTATGCAACACAAGGCTTGGAGCCACATTTGGAGAATTGAACTCATCTTTAAAAAAAAAAAAACCGGAATTTCTACAGTGAAACTATTTTATTTTGCTTGATTGTGGGGCTGCATGTATGAAGTATGACCATCGCTGCCCCCAGCATACTGGTACTGCAGTTGTACAAATCTTGAATGACCTGTGAAAATCTTACTTTTGTTTAGTATTAAGTGATACATAACTATACTAAAGTTATAACAAACACTTAATTTTTATATTAGCTACCACTTACAGGCACTTACTAAAAGCCAGCCTCTATACTTAAACTTGACATGTGCTAGTTTCTCATTCACTTCTCAGCACAGGTCTAGGAGACAGATTATGATGTAGATAGGGAAAATACGGCTGAGAGAAGGTAAATGATTTAACAAGGACACACAGGCATGAAATGGCAATGTTAGAATCCGAAATCAGATCCTTTGATATCAAAGGCTGTACTCTATCTGCTCTGCTATATTTAATATTCTGATTCTATACATACTCAAATAACAGCTGATTAATGCAATCAGTTGTAATATCTCTGATGGGCTTTACTTACCACCAAGTGAAGAAAAGCACCTTATAAAGAGCAACCCTAGAAATGGAATCTCATGTCCGAAGACCTTTATAACCTAGAAAATTGTACTGGGTTACAAACTTGGTGCCTTAAATAGGGCCAGAGTCTAACCAAACAAAAAGTGATTTGCATAATAAACCATAACAACCAGGTTATAGCAAAAATCCCGACTACAGAGGCTTATTTTATCCATTTGGAAGATTTCATTTGACTAGACAAAGTATATGGGATCACAAGCATTGCTGTTCGTGAAATTAACAATATAAACAGGAAAATGTTAACAGCTCCAATTAAACACAGGGAAAGCAATTCTAACATTCTAACGTAGCTAATTTTATTTTCCCTCCATTTATTTACTCTATTCACTAAACATTTGTTCAACTGCATGTTGTACCATTATGATTTTAGACTGTAAGATCTTTCACGATGAAAGACCAAAAGCAAAAGAAGTGTTTCATTTGCCTGCATAGACTCTGGCCGGTAAGTTCTCCGTCAATACTTCTTATGAACAACGTCATCACTATTATAACTAGGGGTTTAATGGTATCTCTTAATTGAAAAGGCCTATTTTAAATTTTACCAAATTAACATAACTTTCTTCTTTAACTGAAAACTTATACGAGCAAATGATCTTTTCTTTCTGTTATATGAAAATTTGCATAAGAAATTTTTCTAAGTACATTTTACACATTTTTTAGAATGATGTGATAGTTTCCTATAGCCCTGATTCAGTTTTTTAATATTGCTGTTTAAATAAGAAATCTCACACAATGATAATTTGTATTTTTTCAGGCACTACACTTTCTTCTGTTACTAAATATAACATTTAGCTGAAACGTAGGTAACTCCAATACCACTAAAGAATCAGAGATTTTCAAATAAGATTAAAAGAAAACATTCAAAACATGTTATTGTATACTGAAAATACTTACATGTGTCAGGAAGCAAATTCCCTTTTCCTTTCATCAAACACTCAAGAATCAGACTACCATTTATCCACTTCACTACAATTTTGTTTAACTATTGCAAAAATTTTTTAAAAAGTTTTCCACGCAATATTAGTAATGTTCTGATTTATGAATTACTAAAACAAATGGCTAATACTTAAAGAGTATTTGCATTAAAATTAAAATTTTCAGAGCTCAAATAATAGTGCTATAAATGAGTCATTTAAAATTAATTCCCAGTCCCTGCCTTTTCCTCCACTTTCCAGAGGAACTATTTCTGAACTGTCCCAGTGAAAAGTATTTTTGCCTGTGTTGAGCTTTGAGGGTGTATTTTTAGAATACCAATATTACACTATCACCCACAGGGTAGGCATTAAAAAAAAAAAAAGCACTGCTTTTTGCTAGTGAAACTTAGTGACCCCATCCCTTGGAATTGGCACATTCAACTGTCAGCTGCCTACCAAGGGACAACCCACAGTCCTGAAGTGTACCAGTAAGTGCTCCACACTCCCACTGGGGCCTTTTATCTTCCCAAGAGTGTGCGCTGACGGGGCTATCCCCTGCCCAGTGAAACAAAAGACCAAAGATTTTCTCAAAAATGTTTAAAAATTCGACCCATGTAACGCTGACACTCCACACTCACGGAAGTGAGCAGAAGCAGGAGGAGGGAAAAAAGCTCCTTCAGCCCCGGCGTGGAGCAGCTGCTGTTCCTTACCCAGACGGGACAGTCGTGGACCACCAGCTTGACATTCCCAAACGCACTGGCCTGATACTCGGTGAACACGGGACGCGCGACCGTGCTGGCCGCGTTCAGCAGCAAGCTGCTCTCGTCCCCCGAGACCAGAGGGCTCCTCCCCAGGTAAGTGCGGATGAGCCCCGACGGCCGGCTGTCCTGGTGGAACGTGTCCCCCTCGTTCCCCAGCGCCACGATGTGGATGGACCTGCAAGGACAGAGAGGGGGCGAGGGGAGAAGGGAAGCGCGGTCAGCGTGCGGATCCGTCCTCGGAACAGGAAGTGCGGGGGGCCGCGCGCGGCCAGGATGGGCAGCAGCCCCTGTCCCTGGGGCGCACGGCACGCGCTGGAGACAGACAATGGCCGGACGGCGGCGCGTACGTACATGATTTCAAATCCAAGGGCAGGGCGGCGACCCGGAGAAAAGCAGCGGCTCACGGCCTCGCGTGGCCCCCAGGCGGCGAGTTCACCCGCAATCCGTTCATCCCCGGCCGCGTCCCCCTCACGCACCTCCACAGCGGCGGGGCCGACGCAGAGCGGGGCCGGGGCCGCGCCTGCCGGCTAGGAAACCGGGGCGTGGGGGCCGGGGCAAGCGGGCGGGGGGCGCGCTGCCGCCACTCAGGGAGCGCCCCGGAACATCGCCGGGCGTGAGGCCGCCGCGCAGCCCCGAGTGGACGCCGCTGACCGCAGTCCCCTCTCCGCCGCTCCTCCTCAGCCGGCAGCTGTCGCCTCCCGCTGCTGCTGCCGCTGCTCCTCCTCCTCCAGGCAGAGAGCGGGGGGGCGGGGGCAGTCGGGGAGATCGGTCGGGGCCTCCGCCCCCTCGGCGGACCGGGCGCAGCACGTGCCGGCCTTGGGGGTCGGGCGGACGCTGGGGGACGCGTTCCCGGCCGAGGCTCCCGAGCTCCGGCGTCGGCGGCCGGACACAAAGGAGCGGCCCGCGCGGGGCGTCGCGGAATATAAATTAATAAATACAAGGTCCCAGCTCGAGAGCTCCGGGCCGCCAATCCGCCTGCAGCAAGTTTGTTCAACTTGCAAGGCCGTAACCAGAGCCAGGAAAGAGGGGTGGGGCGATGGGGCCCCCGCTCACTCCGGACTGGAAAAAGAAGGTTAGGAAAGCGAGGGATTCCAGCCGGAGCGCCGCTCCAGCCACCCGAGTCCCCACGCTCTTGGCCTTGACCAAAAGTGCTTTACCGCGTCTGCCGCTTTGTCATTCGTCAACATGCGCTACAGCTGTTTTCTAAAATCACACTCAGGAGAAAAAATAAAGGCAACATTCATGCTGCCACAGAAAGGGTTCTTTGTTCACACACCAATTAATTTGCTAATGTCGCCTTGGGGGGATTATTTACTATTTCAAGCTATATTTAGCATATTCTACTGAAAACTTGAGGATTTTAAAGGCTGGGATTTTTAGTGTGATTTTTTTAAAAGGAAGTTACATATGGGGGTTTAATGTGTTGGTGAGTTAGCAGACCAACTGAAACAGAATGATCATGGGAATGCAAAGATACTTTAGACTGTTTCATAATAATGCACTGAAGTAAAGGTTATGAATATCCCCAACGTGCCTCAAACTACCTCAATACAAAGGAACACTGGAATCCACTTACTAACACAGAAATGGGCCAGGGATTGATTACTCTGGGGTTAGACTCCTCCATACAGTATTAAAATTCTTACCAGTACCCTACTCTGTTGAAAAGTGTTGCTTATCCTTTTTTCTATTAATTTTCCCCTTCTGTAAAATTGGACTTTATTTTCTCAACTGAGCTGTTTTGAGGGTATGAAAGGGGGGTTATTGAGTAAGGCAGTAAAAAAGACTAGGATAACAGCTGACTTGCTCAGTTGAAAGCAGTTTAATAGTTTCTCTTGCTCAGAGAGAATATAATGAGACATTCTTTACGTGGTCACTGATTTTTTAAAAATCTGATTTCCCTTTGCATTCTGTATGATTTCTCTTTTAGTCTCTAGAACCTAAACCATCCTTAAAAATTTCAGCATGCAGGATCACCTTTTATCTTGGGCTAATAGAAAATATATTTCTCATCGGTCTCTTCCAGAAACCCACAAATGAAAAACAAAGACACTGGAATGGATGCATGGATAAAGGAAATGTGGTATATACATGCAATGGATGATTAACCTTTAAAAAAGAAAATTCCTTCATAAACTACAACATGGATGAACCTTGAGGACCTTGTGCTAAGTGGAATCAGCCAGTTGTAAATCACAAAAAGTGATTCCATTTATATAAGGTATCTAAAGTAGTCAAACTCTTAGAAAGTAGAATAATTGTTATTACCAGGGGCTGAGGAGAGGGGAAAAGGGGAGTTGTTCCACAGGTGTAGAGTTTCAGGTTTGCAGGTTGAAAAAGTTACAGAGATCTGTTGCACGAGGTGTGCATATAGTTCACACTACTGAACACTAGAAAATGATTAACATGGTAAATATTGTTATATTTTATGATGATATAAAAAATAATATAAAAATGAAACAAAAAAAGACACCGAAATTGTTGACAATTGGGAAGTGTCAGGAAGGGAGAAAGCATTCATTTTTTCCTTAGTTACTCAATATGTGAGCCAAGCCTGTGCTGAGTAGGCATGAAAGATCCCAAGACAGGTTAAGACTGGTCCTTGACCTCAAGAAGCTAAGGCAATTTGTTACCAGGAAGAGGTCCCCGATCCAGACCCCTAGAGCGCTTGGACCTTGAGCAAATAATTCAGGGCAAGTCCATGAAGTAAAGCAAGTTTATCAAGAAAACAAAGGAATGAAGGAATGGCTACTCTGTTGGCAGAGCAGTGTCATGGGCTACTCAACTGAGTGTACTTATAATTATTTCTTGATTATATGCTAAACAATGGGGGGTTATTCATGAGTTTTCCTGGAAAGGATGGGCAGTTCCCAGAACTGAGAGTTCCTTCCCTTTTTAGACCATATAGGGTAACTTCCTGACCTTGCCATGGCATTTGTATGTTGTCATGGTGCTGATGGGAGTGTCTTTTAACATTCTAATGTATTATAATTAGCATATAATGAGCAGTGAGGATGACCAGAGGTCACTTTCCCCACCATCTTGGTTTTGGTGGATTTTGGCTGCTTCTTTAGTGCATCCTGTTTTATTAGTAAGGTCTTTGGACCTGTGTCTTGTGCTGACTTCCTATCTTATCCTGTGGCTAAGAAGGCCTAACCCCTGGATTACAGCCCAGTAGGTTTCAGCCTTAGTGTACCCAGCCTCTATTCAAGATGGAGTTGCTCTGGTTTAAATGCCTCTGACATATTAATTAGTTTGTGAATATTAGCACACTCAATCCTTTTCACAACATTCTAGTTCCTTAAGTGATTATGACATAGGCCTATGCAGTCAGTAAAATAGGTACAAAATAAAAGATAAAGTTCAATGAATGTTGAGATGAGATCTGTGCTTTCTATGTCAGATAGAAGTTCATAGAGGAAGTAAACATTGTCTTGGGTCTCAAAAGATTAACAGTTTGTTAGATTTGGATTAAGAAAAGGTTAGAAGGGAAGGAGTATTTGAAAGAACTGGACAGACATCACATGCAAAACTATAAAGACCTGGAAGATCATATCCCGTCTTAGGAACAGACAGAGGTGAAGTTAGTGCTGGCATGAAGACTTCTATATTAAAGCAGGAAGAAAAAAGAGTGGTGGAGGCTTCCCAAGAGATTTCTGAAGTCAGACCTGGTGATACTCAAGCTACAGATTGAGAATCTGGTACAAAGCCTGGTAACATACTCACCCAACCTGTTTTCTCTTGTAAGGTAGCTAAATGACAGTTCTCAAACTTTGTGCATATAGGTAGAGCCACATGATTAGCTCTCGTCAATGGAATATGATCCCTGTTGAGCAGTAAAGAAGTGTGTCTCTCCATTCTCTTTTATCTTCCTGTCCCAACCACATGAAGTCAGGTCAACCTTGAAGCCAGGTGTTTGAAGCTATTAGCATTGCCGTGTGGAACCAATCCTTGAATGACTAGGTACAGCAGAGCCTCCTCACAGCATGCATTGTACTGTGATTGGAGTGAGAAATAGATCTTCAGTGAGTTAAGCCAGACATTTTGAGGTCAATTATTACTGCAGCTACTGTTATTTATCTTGGCAAAAAGAATATCACAGATGGTCCATTTCCTGATATCTTAAAGATCTTTTCAGAATTTTCTTATGACCTCTTTTTTATGGTCATTTCCCTTTTATTTGGTTTGTGTATTTGTAGTTTCTCTCATTAGCACATTTAAAAAATTTTATTTTACCAGTGTTAACAGAATGGATATCACATGTCCTCCAACCTCAAGGTCACTGGGGAACACACAGGAAAGGCTTCCAACCCAAGCAATATTTTTTTCCTATTGCAGTGGCTAAAATGCCACCATTTTGGATTCACTCTATTAGATGTTCTTGTCCCTAAATAAGATGTAGCGTAAGGTACAGTGAGGACATGTAAAGTAATTTGGTGGGCTATTACTAGTCCCCAAATTGTGAATATTCATATGCCAGCTATTAAACAATATTTTGGTTCCTCAACAGCTGGAGAGGAAGCAAGGGTTGGTGAGAGCAGGCCTAGAGATCTAGGCTTAGCAGATGATCTTTTCCAACCATGTTTCAAGAAAAACTAGGTTTCCATAGAAGTTTAGGAGGTGGCAGAAAAAGAGGAGGCAGCTTGAGGAGGTTGCAGAAAAAGAGTAGCAGTGAGATCTGAACTCTGACACTGCATCTTAAAGCCAATTAGAGCAGTCTTATTGCTATCTTAAAAACAAATTAAAGTTTCATATTCATTTTAATTAAAAAGATGGGTTTTCTAAGTTTAAAAACAAACACAAGTTTTAACACCACTTACCTAGAGCCAGAGTCTTCAAGGTGGGGTACTGAAGATGATCCCTGAAATTCCAGAATAAACTTCTAACCACAAACTTTTTTTTATTTACCAAAAATAAAAATAAAAGGGAGAAACAAATTAACCTTTACTAATAATGTTGGGATTGGTGCTGGTACCCCAGGTTGACCAGTAAGTGAGCAGACATAAGGAGTGCTGGGGGTGTGGCAGCAGCAGGATGCACAGTGAGGGGTGCCGGAGGGCTGCCTCCTTTGTTCGCTTTCAACATATTGCCACATGTTACAGTTTCTGTATCTAAGGGGATTTATGAATGATATTAAGTAAACTACTGATACAGCAGGAACCAAGGGAGACTGTGTTAAAAATGCAAGAACAAGCAAACACAACCAGCCAAGCTGATGTTTCTGACACTCCTCTGGAGCCACATTGTGAGGTAAAAAACCAATGACTCATCAGATTTGCCAAGAAGTTGACCATAATAATGGATTATAAAGAACACTTTTAAGTATGAATTTACAACCATTCTTGCTAACATTGATTTCACCCTAAGAGCATATTATAGTTAATAGACAATAATATTCGGAACCAATTGCAATTAGCTAGCAATGTAAAAACTAAACATCAGAGTATTGAAGGCAAACTCAACAATGTTTCTGGCACTAATTTTTAACTAGTACACTGTATATGAGTCAAAACTTTCAAGAAAAGTCACCAAGAATAAATGCTACACAGTCTCTTCAGAGCTTTCTTAAAAATCAAAGTCAAAAAGCCACACACTCTTGGGGAAATAGTTTTCTTCTTGCCAAGATAAAAATATCTGAAATAATACATAGAACGCAAATGGGAAAAAAAACTGCATTCCTTTGTCAGCAAATACCTTGAGGATATTCATATAAATTTTTGCTAAACATCAAGTCATATGTATTTGAACAAGTTAAACAATGTGGGAAGTTTATTATAAGGTTAAACTGAAAACACAGATGTTCTTAATATGTTCCACTTTATGGTATTTGAGAAATTCTGTTTCAGTGTAGTATTTATTACATTGTCTTTCAATAAATGAATTACATTTTGAAATGACTTTTTTTGTGACCCACTAAAAAAGAGCTGTAGTAGAGAAGACATTTTCTCTTCTCCATCTTTTGACAATACTGTAAACAATAATTGATTGTT